GGGTTCAAGGCCAGGTTGGTCAGGGCTTGGAGCAACCTCGTCTGGTGGGGGGTTGGAACTAGATGATCTCTAAGGCCCCTTCCAACCCAAACCATTCTGTGATTCTATGATTCGATGTAAATCCTTAGTTTGAACAACAAGCAATGAATCTGCTCAAAACCAAATAAAACTCCAGGAATTATTGAATTGTATCTAAATTCAATTAAGATTGTTCATGCCTTTCAAACGCAGAAATCTGCATAAAGCTGTAGCTGTAAGTGTCATTTTATGGAGTGAAAAGAAAACATTTTATTGGTGGGAAAACAGACACACCTCTCACAGCTCAAAAGTCACTGGATAACTACAGCCATAAGATGAGAGTTCTAGATTTTGCTACAAAATATAATAATTCTAATCAGGCCATTGGGTTCCTTTCATAAATGGAAATTCAGGAACTCCAATTGACATATTATTGATGTGATAGACTCTAGCAGGTTTTTTTTTTTTTGGAATGAAGCCAGAGTCTATAGCATCAATAGAACTTTGTTCACTTAAATCACAGTAATCATAACAAAACAGTCTATCACTCAAGCTGCTTACATCTGAAATATTATTTAGAAACATTAGCAAAAGACAGTGAAGTTATGTTTACAATCTCCTCTATTAGACTTCCACACTTAAGACTGCAAACAATGAGTATTGTACTAATGCTAATTAATATTTTTTGGTAAACATTTTCAATGCAACAGTCTAACCATAGATACACAAATGGATATATAAACATTTCAGCAAACAGCTTCATTTTCAGAGGTTCTGACATTGCTGAAATTGGAGGGGAAGAAGCAAGCTCAGTGTAGCCAAATGAAAATAATGAAGCTGCTTCTCAGGTTTTTAGATGCAAAGATAGCAGTGCTTAGAGTGTGAAGTGCAGGCCTTCAGAAACAAAACCAGAGAAAATGTACTGGCATATACCACCGTGGGTTTCCTTAGGGCCATCAGCATTTTCCTCTCCCATCAGTGCATTTATTCTATTTTCCCAGCCATTGAACAGACTAGTCAGAGGACTCACAGTTGCCTCTACAGAGCTGCCAGACATCTTGCAAAAGCTGTAGCACAGCAAGAATGCACGGGACTTGTTGGTCACATGCTAGTTAGCAACACAGCTCTGGGGCAATTCCCCAAATCACTAGTGTGTGCTACTCATGACACATGTATTACATTGCACTGCCTGAACTTCTCAGATAGAAACCAGGGTTTACAGACACCTATCCCAGCAGGGCACAAAGCAACAGAAGTCACACAGTGCCCTGTGCTATAACTGTTCCTATGAAGAAAGAATTACTATCTATAATGCCCACCTCTTCAGAAGGAAATGTATTTGTTATATGAGATCGCTACAGTTGCTAGTTTGTTTCAAAAGTGTTCAGAAAACAAATACACAATTCAAAGCTTCACTTAGGGACAAATGCTTCTTAAGTTGGAAGCTTTTAGATCACAAAGGTGAAAAACTTGTATTTTTTCATTTGCATTGTTGCTTTCCCATTGACTATGACAGTTACTAAAGTTTATGATAAAGTACACCATTATACTATGGGATAAGGACAAAGCTGAAGAGTCTCTCAAGCGCTTTCATGCTGCTACACATCCAAGTCTGCCAAAAGCCAACACAGTCCTTACATGGCTGAGACTTCCTCTAAGTCCAGCCAAGCAGATCAGTTTCTCAGGGACTGTCGTACCCAATCACAGTACTATGTGCTATAGCACCCCAAGCCAGCTCTGCCTACGCATACCTTGCATGTACATAAAATAAGAATGAAATAACAATAGGGCTTTCTTACATCATCCCATACTTCTTAGAGAGGATTCTCACCTGGTTTGGTTTTTTTTTGGGTGGGGGTGGGTGTGTGTGTAAATGTCCAACCTAAACAACACAGAGCTCTTCATAAAGAGGTCAAGGATTTAAGTCTAATGGTGATTCCGTGATGAATAATTCAAAATAATAATTTCTGTTTATGGCCTAAGAACTAGCAAGTATAAAAGCATTTAATACCCTTTAAAACAAAAAAAAAACCCCACCTTTTTCTTTAACTTTCCTGCCCGTTCTCTGATCAAAGGCAGACACTTTTGTACACTTTTCTCCATAAATAAGCAATATAAAAAGCCTTAACATTTTCATATCAGGGTAGACACATGAGATTTCTGGAAACCAAAAATTAACTCAAATCTTGAAGACTGTGAATGACATTACCAAAGCCATCATTGCATTATACAAAGTCTTTTGCAACAGTAGAGGTCTAAGATATCCACCTACCCTGGGTTGTTCATTTCAGCTCACACATCACCTTTTCCTGTCTCCATGCTGTCTGCTGCCTTGATTGCAGAAGCACAACTGCTCATGGAGCTGTTCCATGAAACAGATTGAAACAGTAAACTGACTTTCTGCAGAGTCTGTTTAAGTCAGTTTGGTTCCTTGACCTATTTTGCTGAGAAGTACCACCTATATTTGTGTCAATGCAACATGCTAAGGCTTTGTAACATTATCACCCAGCACTGCCATCCTCCAAACCCTCATGCATCACCCCATCATGTGCTAATAGAAGCATTTACACAGCTACACAGAAAACTGTATTTGGGTTAAAGCAGCTTGTTTTCCACTTGGTTCGTTTTAATCCATATCAGTACTCCAGCCCTGTGTCAGAACATAGCACCACAGGCACATTTACTATCTGCTGGGAGAAGGAAGAGGGTCTGTAAAAAAACCAAGACTGAAACTACTTCCCCAGTGACAGGCTGATGCCTTATGCAGGTGACAGATATCTGAAACTCAAGATACTAATCCAGAACTCCTGAGATATATACAGGTTGTAAATTCTCAAAGAACAGTTGTGAGTTCTCAAAGAATGGCCACTTGATCAACAGCAGCACTACTGAGCACCTGAATAAGAGGATAATTCCCAATGGGAAGAGGACTGGAAGCGTTAGCATTAGGATTTGGGCATTTATGGCCATATCCAGGTTACAATTTACCTGTCTTAGAAGATCTGAATGCTGTTTGAAGAACCAAGCATTCAGACTTGATTCAAGTTAAACATATATCTCGAGTGATGTAGTATCTGCTTCAACATTCGTTACATGAAGACAAATGCTACTGTACATAGCTACAAATCCAGACTTTGAGTAAATGACTTCTGACTCTAAATGGACCTGTAACCCTAAGTTATTCAGTACAGTTATTAGCTCACTAAAATCCTATTTCACTTCTTTTTTTGTAGTGCAAGTCTAATATTGTCCTGTGCTCATAAGAACCTCGTAAGACCTAAAACTAACTACTCATTTACTGCATTGCCTCATCTAAAAAATAGTTCAGAAAAAAGAAAGACTGACCGTTATGAAGACATATTTTCACTATAAGAAGTTCACTCTGTCTTGACAGATAGTACTACAGTTTAAATCCTGACACATAGTAAACTATGACTTCAATTGTGTTCATTAACAAATTACTTTTTTTCTCAGAAAGCATCTTGGCTGTAATAAGAGGGCTCCTGAGATAAATGTGACTAAGCAGCAGGAGTTAATTAAGTAGGACAATGAGTAAGCATTTATGGGCATGATAGGAGACCCAGCTGATTTAATTGCTAGTCTAATTATCGAGAGATAATTAGCTTGTAGTACAAGAAGTAGCTTGTAAGTGAAATACTCTATTTGTTGATAGTTTAATGATTTTTAGTGACCTGTAGGAGCAGTATTAAATGCTATTCTGGGACTACAGAAGGTTTTTTCTCCTCTTACTAAAACAGAGGTTCTTAGTACTTCTAAAATGACTAATAAATGTATATACAGGCTTCTCATACTCAAATATTGAAAGCCTTTAGATCCTTTGCTCTATTCAAAAAAAAAGAATGCTAGCATGCTAGCAATTAAGCATTCAAACACACTACCTATAAACCACTCAGGTCAAAATCTTTCTGCATTTATGTTATAATGAGTGTAATAGCTGTCCAATGGTGTGAAAAAGCCACATTAACTATTTACAGTGTGTTTGTACAAGCCAGTCTCCAGACAAAAAGAAAGGGGCCAGGAAACTATTTAAACCTGTAAGGGCAAAGAGCCAGTTGGCTACATTTATTGTTGAAATGTTTTATAAAGCAATTGCAAGAAAATAAATTTACCAAGAAAACTGTTGGAGAGCCAAAAATATTAATATATTGGAACACAGTGAAATTTTTACAAGCTGTAAATATTTTTTGTGTTCTTACATATAACCCATAAAAAGTATGTTGGTCTTTCTCAGAACTTCTAATATTAGTATGTAGTTTGTAAAAACATCTACCAGAAAAAGGGATCAGAAAGTCACTCTATGTCACAAGACCGGTGTAATTTCCAACTACAATTACCAAAAGACAAATTTGGTAGATATCAGGAGGACCTAGGAACTGAAGATAGCAGGTTAAAAAGAACTAGGAAACTGAAGCAAACACCCATCCTAGCACATATGGTCTGAGCTTTGGACACATTAACAAGCCCATTCGCATCGGAATAAAAAACCAGCATCCTTTAACCATTTCTCAGTCCATTACACACAGCTAAAAATACTGCAAGTTTTTGCCTGTTGAACAACCCCCTTGCCCGGGTTTCACACAGACTCTTAACAGCTCGGATCCAGAAAGGTGCTCAACTATTTGTTTTCTGCTAAGGGGAGCCCTGCTAACCGGCAAGTTACAGAGTTTAGATAACACCTCTTCCTCTGAAATACAGGTAACTCCTCAAGTAAGGTAACAGCTTTCTGTCACCTTTATCCAAATGCATTTTCCTACTGAAGAGCATTTAAGAAAACAAACAATCTAAGATACCTCCAAAAAGGCAGTGTCAACATGAAGTGTGTTTCCTGAGGAACCTAAAAAAATCACAGAAGGCGTGTTTTCAGCCTTTCACCTGAGAGACACGTGACGGCACCGCTCCGGGAGGGCGACGGCTGGAGCACAGAGGGGGCGGGGACATGCGCCGGCTCGGGGCGGGCCGGCCCCTCCCGCCCTTCGCCAACCGCCGCCCGCAACGGCTCAGCCGCGCGGCAGCGGCCCCGGCCGACATGGCGCACCGCCGCCCCGACCCGGCCCAGTCCTGCAACTTCGTAGCGCGGGACAACTGCTGGTAACGGCCCCGGGCCCCCACCGCCTCCTTACCCCGCCCCAGGCGGCCTCCCCGGCTCAGGGCCCGCTCTCGGGCGGGTGAGGCTGAGGGAGTTTGTTCTTATCTCCCCTTCAGCCGTGTCTGCGAAGCCCGTGTGCCCCTCCAGAGGCCTGTCCTCTGCGGGACGCCCGGGGCTTTCCATACCCGCCAGCGGCTGCGCCCCGGGTCGGATAGGCCAGGCCCGGGCAGCCTGCGCCGGTGTGAGGGCTGGAGAGGGCCGGGCAGGGCCCTGGGGCAGAGGCCCGGTCATCAGTCCGCAGTAGATATGTGTGAAAGGACAGCGGTGCTTACTTCTCCAGTTTAAAAAAAAAATGTGGCAAGTTTCAGAGAATGACGGGACGGCAGGGGTTGGAAGGGACCTTCGGAGATAACCCGTTCAACCTCCCTGCAAAGCAGGGTCACCGGAGCAGGCCGGACTGGGACGCCTCCAGGCGGGGTCTGAGATCCCCGGAGAAGGAGGCTCCGTGCCCTCTCCGGGCTGCCTGCTTGACCTCCTCCAGTTCCCAACTTACACCTGCTTGGCAAGGCAGTGTATTCACACATACCGTTTCATTTCCAACCTATGGAAAATATTTCCCCGATAGCTCCAAGTCAGACAATTGTTAATTCGTGCATAAACTTGCTGTTTTGAGGGAAAGGTATAGAGATTCATGCAAAGTGCTGTGCTTTGTGACATTAGTAGTTGGATTTATGTGTTGTTTTTTCTAATGAAAGCTTTCAAGGTCATCTTAAATATTTCTCTGTTTCAGGAAAAAATTAATTGAAAGTGAATTAGAAGCTGCAAAAAGATGGTCTCACAAATGGGGATTCTTGAAAACACCTCTTGAGGAGGTAAAATTGAATGGCATATAAGCAACACGGGAAATTTACTTGAACACAAATTTATCTGGACACAAAATTATGAAAGCACCGATTATAAGAGCAAGACTACAAAAGTAGTGAGCAAGCTTTACTAAGCTAGGTTTCGAGGTAACAAGTGCACTACTTCTAATATGGGTTTAAAGTTTCAGTTTTCCTCTGAATAAAATACAGCAAGTGGTAATTTATATGCTATGCATATTCTGTATTTCTCTTGAGAAACATGACTCCCAATAGTGTTAACAAATACTAGATGCACACTGACAAGAAAATATTTCCCCTTTGTCTATCCATATGGTAGTCTAAAAATCTAGGGGAAAAGGTTCTAGCTAATTAAATTTTCAGTGGGGGAATTTACAACTAATGAAAATATTTGGAGAGATGTCTGTTCTCAGTGATGTTTAGATATTAGAATATAGTAGCACATAATGTTACATTTAGAATCACAGTGTTGTATTGTTATAAAACAGGGTGGATGCAGCCCCTGAATAGTTATAAACGTACTTTCCATGGGGCTAGAAGTACTTCATCTGTTCTAGGATTTTTTAAAAATTCTGTAGGCACCCGAGTTAGCAGCTTTGAAAACTGGTCCTCTAGGCTTCAACGTCGATTTTTGATAACTGTGGTCTGTCATGCATACCACCTTTGTACAGTACTAGTAGGTCTACAGCTGAAAAGTTGGCAAACTGCATTGTTACTATTGGTGAACACATGTATTTAGCATTTATTAGTCTCTGTTTTGTGGTCATGCAAGTTTATATATAAGATATTTCTAGCCTTTTTTGGACCAGTGATGTAGTTAAGAGAGTTGGGGCAGTATTTAGCCTTCCATCTGAAATTCAGAATTACATCACTTTCTGAACCCAAAAATGACATTACAATAATTTTCAAAGCACTACAATAAGTAGTACTACTTTAGATGGAAAGAACAGGGAGTTCAGATGCAACAATGAGGGGAATGCTGTAATACCAGATACTACAGCATATTTCAAAGGATAATGAGTCCCATTTTTAACGCTGATGTTTTGGTTTTAGTTGACTGAAGATGAAAAGAAAGAAAATACAAAGCCTAAGATACAGCTTCCAGAACATCTGCAGGTTCGACCTGTGACACCTGTGGAAAAATACATTAAGGTGAGAAAATTAGTTTTTAAAATTGCAGTACAGCAATACCTGTCTTAAGAAACCACACAAGCTCTAAACATCAGTTGTCTTGTAGATGTGGGCCTTTAACTAAAGGTCAAAGTAAATTGTATTTGCAACCCGAGCAATGCTTTAAAAGCGTCCATTTAAGACAAGGAATTGTCCTTTGGATAGGGTTGTTAGTTCACTGTACATAATCATCTTTGTGTAGAGCACCTCCCCCATGCACTCCTCTGTGACATCAAGTAACAGCAGTCAGCTGTACAGCTTAGTACAGAAGAGTGCTCACAGAGCCATTTATCACTGCTGGCCAGTCATTTCTCAAATATACACATACATGTCTGTCTTCAGGGCTTATCATAACCTTAACTCTCAGTTTTATGTGTTGGTTAAGATGCAGCCATTTTTCTAGCTTTACTTAAGACAGTGTTCCTTTTGGCAGAGACTATGCTGCTGTACTATACAGGCAGCTAAATCAGTGACATTGGAAGGGAAACATGTTCATAAAAGGGGAAGCAGTATACACTAACAAAAAGGAAGGTTAGTCCACTTAGAGAAAATTACGGAAACAAAAGAGATTGGGAATTCCTATTTGCCGAACTAGCTTTCTTTAAAGTATTTGAAGGGTGGGGAGATAAGGTGAGGAAGTAGTAAAAGCTTTTACTGAGATTAAATTGGAACAAATTAAGAGCTAATGGTGGGGGTGGCAGAGAAATGGAATGGCAGCATTTCTGTCATTAGTGCTGCTTGTTCTTCAGTTTTGTCTCAAGCCTCCAATTTCCATCAAGTTTACCTCTGCTTCAGCACAGTGAGGGGGGGGTGTTAACAAATCACGCAGACGTTACCAGCTGCTGAAGTAGCGTGCACTGCCTGGTGTGTGCTTGTCGTGGGCACAGCGATTAACTTCACTCATAAGAGGGAACTAGTGAGATATTTATTAATGTGAAACAGTGATTTCACAAAGATAGTAATAAATGGAACAGTGTTTTACGAGAATGGATGGCAAGGTACACTTGGTTATTTACTGCACAGAAGACAGGATCAGACAAGCTGTTGGGAAGACCCTCCCTAAGTCAGGAAGTTCAGGAAGGACCCCCTGGCTTTCTAAACTCCTTCTCAGAGTGGAGTCTGGGTGCAGCTGGATCCAGTCCTAGTCCCAGACTTGGTAAAGGGTTTATGTCTAAAGGATTATATATGCACAATCAACCCTTTATATCACTTAGCTAAGATATCAAAGTTTAGCAGACTATTAGTCCCTTACCAAGAATCTGTTGTGGCGAGGAATCACTCGGCCTCAAGGAGTAGAACCTTAAGCGAGTGTCCCCACTCAAGGGGAGATCCTGGCCTGCAGCTGCTGCCCTGCAGGAGAGCTCCAAGGGCTCTGGGGCTGTCTGCTATTTCTAGATTGAGATAATTGACCTATAGTCATATTTCCATGGGAACAAAATATCTAGGTCCCCACTACAGGCAGTGCTTTGGCTGCATTGCCAGCCATCCCCCAAAGTCCAGGTGCAACTCATCACAACTCCCACTGATGATATGGCTTGAGCAGGAGCCAGGAGGGAAAGGGAAAAGAGGGAGAGCACACTGCCACATTGCTAAAGTAGGGATCATAGTTTCAATTTCACCTCAGAATCTTTATTTGCTAAGAAAGATAAGGGTTAGCTGTGATTTAGGTCACCCGTTACATATTCAGACTGAAGTTTCTTAAGTCCTTATTCAAAACTATGTGTCTGTCTTTCTGCACGTTTACCTTCATGGTGACAGTCATCTTCTATTCTTCTATTCTTCTATTCTTCTCTCTAGGTTAGATTTATAATTGCTTCTTCATAGTCTCTTCCCCCAGATCATAAGTGGGACATGATTTCCTTCATTATCCTGCTCAGTGGGTGGCACTTTTGGCCACAAAAATTATCTTTTCAGGGGAACCGTTCCACCTAAATATCAAACATTTTCTAATCTTGGCCAAAGAACAAAGTGAAGCAACTCTGGCAAGAGAACTGACACATTGTTCTCTTGCTGTGTATTTCTCTACTAAGTCCCCAGATGCTAAAATGATACAACATGCCCAATTGAGATGATTCAGCCAAAGTAAGCACAGCAGTCAGTGAACAGAGACTGTTGGCTTTTGTTTTGTTTCCTTTTTAGCTAGATTAGTTGCAGATTAACTTGATGCTTACCCATCTTTTAAAGCAGAAAGAAGGTGGAAGAAATAAGTAGTTCTTGATGCAAAAGCCAGCTTGGGCAGTAGTATCTTTAGCATTTGGCCACAAAACTATTATTCCATAGCTGTACTGCTACCAAATACATTACAGCAAGCATAAAATGCTATTTCTCCTGTTTAGAGAAGTTAACTAGTTTTAAAGACTATTATTATTCTGTAAGGAAAAAGGCTAAAGTTGAAGATAAAATTCTTCTATAATGTAAAGCCCTTAAATAGCTATTGAGCAAAACTGAAAGAAACAACTGTGCTAACATACACTACTAAACAATAACCTTGCATTTTGGTTTCCTGTTACACATACCAATTTAGGCACTGAAAGAATTTTTTTTTTTTTTTTTTTTTTTAGAAATGTGAATGAAAGTTAGTTACTTCATTGGAATTTGGCCATTTTACTTCTGTCTTTCTCCATGCCCTGCTATAGAATGGCTACATTACTCGACTTTTTAAATTATAAACTATCCTGTACTATAAATAAAACTTGCACACAACTGGGCTATCTTTTGAAGTTCTTATTTCCTTCTATTAATGTCAGTGTGTCTTTAGGATATTAATTCATCAGGTTGCATTCAAAACCACTGTTTTTGATAATTTCTCATTTCCATCCACACTATAGCACAAAACAGGGTGTTGCATGACAGAAAACACAATCAAAAACCTAATCATTGAATTCTACGTATTACGTTTATTCTAGGTGAATCCATCTCCTCCAGTACCTAAGACTACCCAGGGATTTATTGGCTGGAGATCAGCTGTTCCAGGGTTGGAACTTGAACGAGGTTTTCAAATCCAAAGCTGCAAAGGTACCTTTTTTAAGAATTTGAAGTGGCCATATGAGCCCTCTGACTGACATTAAGAAAGAGCAGTTAGGCACACAGATCCATTCGCATCCCTAAGTTAACATTCCATAGAGGACCATTAAACATTTATGCTTTAAAAACAATTTATGTAAACATTCACAATCATTTTAGTAAAGTGCGAACGTTTTCATACAGCATTTTATTTGTTACTGATTTTTTTAAAATCTATGGCACCCAAGCTGTTAACACTGCTTCAGGTTGACTTACAAGTAACAATGAATAAACTCATATAAAGATCACAGAGCAGGTTCTGCTTTTATTAGCATTAGTAAGACTATGATTTTAAAATATTTATTGAAAGTCTTTAAAAAACTTATTTTGTAATGACAGGGAACATTTTAATAATTGTTTCTCCATGAAAGCCTCCATTCAGGCTCTGTTTCACAGCAGCTTTTTCAAACACAGACTGCCATTTTCCTGACAGCCCTACTCTGCTGCTCATTCCCAATTCCAACTAATCTGTGTTTAGAGTTAGTTTTCAATCTGCACTCTGAACTGGCCCACTACCGAGTTGCTCAAGTGCCTGTGTTAACAGAAAATCATCTCTTTTGTACAGAAAGAGAATGAAAAGAGGCAAAGAAGAGTAGCAGGTATGACTTAAATTGGTTCAAGCTGCTGTGGAACAGCATCCTTGCATTTGGAAATAAGCTTTCCTCATTAAAAACAAAACAAACAAACAAAAAACACCTGCAGAAAAGAGTTATCAGGCTTCATCATAGTGTCCCCACTGCAGCTTGAAAAAGACACACAAATCACAAGTATAGTTAAGTCATAATGATTAAATGTCTTTTGTGCTTTACAGGTAGTTTGTGTAGTTACATGCCTAAGTAGTTGAGTAGTTCCCAGCCCAGCTGTTTGATTGGTATAAATGAAGTATACAGAGGCCACCGTGATACAAATCACAGAATGGTTAGAGTTGGAAGGGACCTTAGAGATCATCAAGTTCCAACCCCCCTGCCATGGGCAGGGACACCTCCACTAGAGCAGGTTGCTCAAAGCCCCACCAGCCTTTCAAAGTCACTTTTGTGAGAAACGTGCTCACTGTATCAAACTTTAGTCAGGAACAAATTCTGTGGAGGAATGTATTTACAGCACTGGGAGCTGCACAGGGGATTTCTCCTCCTGTGGCTCAGCTCTTTTCTTACATATGCTTGCTTTTATCCCCTATTATTTATGCATATTCATGGTTTTTCTCATAAAATGATTTACATAGTCAATGAGTTCTTGGAACGTAACCCACCCCCGAACACGCCTTCCCCCCTCCGTAGCAGCGCAGATGCAGTGCTTCCTCAGGGGTCTTCCTGGTGGTCGTGGGAGGAAGGCTCGAAGTCTTCATCACCATGTTCTTCCTGTGGCTTCTCCATTCTTACACCTCTGCGGTTATCTTAGCTAACCACACCATCCCCTGTTTTGCCACGGTTTGGTACTTTCCACTGTTGCTTCCGTCTAACATTTTATCTAACACTATTTTATCTAACACTATCCATTTTCCTACTGCTTAGCAGCTTAAGCTATTGCAAGCACATACTTATTTTAGCTGCAGCAAAATTTTTCCTAAATTACTTATTACACTTTCAAAAATCAGTTTTGGTATCAAAAAAGTTTTTTTTTCAATTGGTTGATCAGAATGCAAATGTGTTACAAAGTCTTTATGTTGCTTCAGGTGTTTTTATACCAGTATTTATATCAACCGGGACTGGTGAAAGACTCAAACAGTAGAGGGTTGCACTGGTGTGGCTGTCTCACTGCGCTTCATTACCTACTTGAAGATTTGCCAGGACTTTAGAAACTCAGAAGGAGACTCGTTTAGTTGTAACAACTATTTGCAGGATATAGTTCTAGTTGGCTAACATGTTTAAACAAGTAACAGCCTCCAAGAAATCAACACAGGCAGCTCCTTATAATTCCTTATGACTTCAAGAGGAAAGACTTTCCTCTTTAATCCTGCTGCGAGATCTCTATTCTGCAGTTATCGATATTTGCTTCTTGAGTCAGCAGTAAGTCCTTGGCTTTCATAGCAGCAGGTCAGCAGCTAGTGTTTGTTCTTTCCTTCTTCCCAAGAAATGACTCACAATGATCAACATCCCACCTATTTTTTTTACATCCAGTTCCAAGTACCCACAGAATAATAATGTTTTATTTTTTCCATATTCTTTACAAATAATGGAGAAGTGACTCATATCCTTTGGAAAGATTGCCCAAGAATGAGAATGCACAGCAGAAGTAACTTCAGACACATTACTTAAAAACCAGTATAAAGAATAACTTGGAATCAGACTCTGGAAATTTAAATTTGCAGTTTAGCTTCTAACGATAATGTGTAAACTGCTCTTTGAACAAGCAAGATAATTTTAAGAACAATATTTTAAATCGATGTGCTTTCTTGTCATTGCTAGGTTTGCATTTATTTATTTTAATCACACAGTTCTTCAGTTTATTTTAAGGTCGCATATAGATCCTCTTGTCTGATTTATATAAAGAGGTTTAGTAAAGATTAATATGTACAAATTACATTAATTCAGGCCAAATGAAAGGAGAGCTTCAAGACCACTGTTTTTAACAAAATGTTATATTAAACAACCAAAGCTGGCACCTAATATCCAGTAGACGTTTGTATGAAGTGAAATCCAAATCCATATGAATCATAGTTAGAATTTCTTTTGGTTTTCAGAATCATTCTCCAGCATCTACAGTTGGAAATTTCTAAATCTTACTCCCAATATCTGAATATTAACTCTATACTAACAATAAGGTTTGAGGTTTTTTAATCTTACTTCCCATTATTGAGGTACCTTTACTTCAGGAGAGACTGTGATATAGTCTAATTTGGCATATGTAAGGAATATCGTCTAAAATGTGACCTCATTCCTCTGGCATAAATCTGTCGGTTGTTAATTGATCCATGTATTTGAGGTTTTGGTGTTAAAGAATATATGGAACTATAAACCTGACTCTTTCTTTTCCCAACAGCTGTAGTTTGACACTTTATACCTGAAAAAAAATGTGTAGAAGTTGTGGGTTTGCAGCTGACAAAAGACAGCCCAGTCAGCTGCCCCAGTTGAGAATCCAAAAAGGCCAATACAGAATTATTAACCCTGTAATGTTTCAAACCTGGCATTTAATTAACCTAATATTGGAGCCAAGTTGGGCACATAAATGTCACCGCACACCATAAAATATCACGCCATCTTCAAGGTGAGGATAGTGTTAGTAAACTCAGTGCACACACTGCTTCAAAACAAAATTAAATCACTTCAAAAATGCAGCAAAAGTGAAGGGAATTCTAATTCTATATAAAAATCTTAGACCTGTGCTTCTGTGCAAGTTTTTTTTGCACATGCAAAAATTTTACTGTATGTGATACAGTCACCACAGCAAGACATAAATAGGTCAGCCATACATCTTTTGTCACCATGGATGTGTGCCTGCATATACTTTCCTGAGTGTGTGATGAAATAATAGTAGAGGCTTAAATTACAATTGTATTTAACTTGAAGAACTACGAAATCAGAATTATCTTTCTCACAAGCACTTGCTTTATAAACAACAAAATTGGGTGGCAAAAACCTGGTGCGTTTTCCTTCACAACGTGTTCTTTTCTGTGCTGTTAGAACTGGCATAGAACTGGCACTTGCTATTTATAATTTCATTAATATATTTTACTGGGAGCTTAGAGTTGGAAGATTATTTAAAATGCATTTTGCATCAGAGAATAAGGGGGTTTGATTAGATGGTGGTGCAATGGTGATTCTGAGTAAGTAGCACTAGTCAAATTGCTGTGACTGTACAAATATTGCTGTACATGAAAGAAGCAAAATGAAAAGCAACCACAGCATGTGCAGAGCCAATTGATCTGGCTACTGTAAAAGGTGGCTACTTAGAGAACAAATCTAATCTCTGTTCTGCACGAGACATTTTTACAAAGTTACATGCTGTGACTGTCCTAATGGATACCTACTGCAGTCCTAAGTTTGTGCAAAAATTACTATCTGCAATTCCTGCTCTTGGCTGCTCTGTAAATAACTTTCATTCTGAGATCGTTTGCCTTACAAAACAGAGGAGATCGATTATTTTATTATATTATTTCAGAGACCTAAGGCTCCCCATTCACTCACATCATTTTTCCCTTTAGTGGAGGATTCTTTGTGGTTTCTTTCACGTTCTACAACATACCAAAGCAACAAACATTATTAACTGAATAGTTATTGGCAACCAGAACAGAAATCTGTACTCCTGTGTGAAGCCCAATCCGCATCACTTCTTGCATTAGGTTCCTAAATACGTTGTATTTAGTTCCCCTTGAAACTGTAATTGTCGGTGTAGCAAGACAGGTAAGGTGAACTTACAGACTATTACCTTCTTCCTGACTCCTGTGGTTTTCACAACCCATCAAATCGTTACTTAACAAGTTGAAAGCATGTCAAACCATTTCATAGGACCACAGTGTAATAGATTTAGCTATACTGGAAAATTACACCGTTGTGCTGTGAAACTGATCAGTTCGACGGTGAGCAAAATATTGCCCCTTCAGTCTGCTCTATCATACATGGAAAAGACCAGTAGTATTGGAGAAATAAATTCAAAACAAACCCAAAAACCTTGTGGAAACAAACCCGATCTGATTCATGTTGCCCCAGTGAAACAAAACACTGTTTTGTGGGCCCTTATTTTGTCAGATGGAGATAATTTTCACTGTAGGGTTTCAGGCTGCTCACACACATCTCAAGACTTTATCTGTTACATAGAGAACAGTTTGAAGAGATTAAAAGAATGCTCTTTCTGGTATGCCTCAGTGGTGGCTTTGTTTCCAACTGGAAATTCTCTGATATAACTCGAAGAGTACCACAGGGCAGCTTTTTATCTGCAGTGTAGAAGATGTAGTGTTGCCACATTTGAAGTAAGACACACTTACCAGTCTGAGCGCTGGCTTTTACAGGCTGTCAGGTGTACCACCCAGGATGGTGGCAAGCCACGGGACATCTAGCACAAGGCTTGCAGAGAAACTGGAGGCTGTGGTCGTGGGGAGTGTTCTGAAGCATCTGCATTTTCCTCTGCACCATCCACAAACTGCCTGGCTTCAGGTGGCTACCGTGCAAGGCTGTAGCTTATGGTCAGCATTTCAGTGTTTAGGGAGGCAGTTCACCAGATGTTAAGAGAAAGATGAGATGGGGTCAGACCATCTGATAAGTATAAAAGTAAACATAGCAGGTTAATTTAATTCCTTATCATTTAAGCAAATGCATCTCTATTTACTATAATGTGCAAAATTTTGGCTGGACGTGAGGTAACATATTCTTTAGAACAACACCACTTGAAAAGGTTGTAAAGCAGGTTAGCAGTATGCATCGTTATGTGTGATACAAGTGTAAGAGTGTAAGAGTTTTCCAACCTTTCATGTTTCAGTTACTCTTAAATCAGTACATTGACCTCAAAAGTAACATTACACAGCCTTAGTAAACCTTCTAAAGGTACAAAATATTCACGTGTTTAGCAACAGCACAGGAAAGAATAGATCAAAGGCTGGTTGTTACTTTTTGGTGCTTTTTTTTTCTTTTTTTAGGAGACAAGCATATGAAAAATCTGTTAGAATAAGCACACTTCCTACTCCTTGGAAATGCATAATAGAGGTTACATTTTATGGAAGAGATGTGCTAGGTACATTATAGTACAATACATTAAAATACCTTTTTTAGATAGTATCTCTGAGGATAATTACCTGTCATATCTTTTATATAATTTAAGTTTATTACTCCTGACTTGTGTCAGTACCCAAAAGCTCAGGATTTTAAGGATAGCTAAGAAAAAGGTAACTACGTTTCATACAAGAGTGGCGCATTTCTTTTTTCATTTAAGTTCTTAATTTATTAATTAATAACAAACTAAAATAACTCTGTCCAAGTTTTTGCTTCATTTCTGCACAATTTAAAATGATACATAATAAATAAATTTCAAATACTAGGTTTACTTTTAAAAAATAATCAGCATGAAGATATTAACAGATGTAAGCTGATGCTGCCACAGGCAATGGGCTAAAATGGAAGATGGTTCAAAATTCCTCTCAGCCCTACTTTCCTATGTCTCTGCAAGGCCCAGAAGACAGAACCATCCTTACGTGGTCCTCAGGCATTTTCAGTGTTGCATTTGAAACCGTATCTCAAGCCCTGTGGCACCCAAACTGTAGAATATTGGATGCCTCTACAAACTTTAGATCTGACACAGGCAAAAACTACATTTACTGAACTGGAATTGACTCAAGTCAAAGCATCTTAAATCTATTGGCTTTCAATGGCTATTGTAAATTTATTGCCATAATGAGGTCAGCTACCATTTTAGGGATTTTCAAGTTCGTATTTATTCATGTAATTGTTTTGGAATGGAGAGAAGGGATTGCATCAGTAAAACTGGAGTCCAGAAAACAAATGAAAATAATGGAGATGCAGTTTTATTTTTATTGTGAGGCAGCTCACCAGGTCTCTATTCCAAGTTCTACTGTTTCTTTATCATGTGACAACCTTATGCATCCTGATTTAGATGAGGTGCAGAGCTATGTTGAAATATGGCAGAAAAGTGGTAAGTCAGTACAATGTGGTTTTATTAATGTAAATTACACCTTATGGTCACAGGTTGCATGTGCTACCCAAGTTTGATTCAACTTTGAACTTGGCCCTTTCCCTCATATTTTCCCCTTCCATGCTTTATCTGCTTCAGTAAAGAAGCAGAGATTGAAATAAACCTAAGAACTTCAAAGCACAAAAATAAGATGGAACCATGAAGAAATAAACAGAACAAAGAATCTTCATTCCTCCCCCCTGTCCTTTTGAGTGAGGTGGCTCTACTGACACCAGCTTCACTGGCTGCAGTGCACTGCAGCTACCGGACTGGGATTAGACACGGCTAGGCAGGACTCTTGTTAAGTGATGTTTAACAGCTCTGATAAAAGCATTATTGAGAGTTCCTAACGTAGGGAGTGTAGGAGTGGCCATTTGCTTTCTCTGCGTCCTTGGTAAAGGCTGGGATCCATTTTCTGAGTCTGCTTTCCAGAAAGATCATTGCTGTAGAGAACAGCCTTGCACCCGAACAGGACACGGCAGCCTCTCCCTCCCCCTGCACACACACACAGTCTCTTGCCTTTGGGACCGATGCCTCCAGGCTGCTGTGACACCCAGCTCTTCTCTCCTCTGCTCCAGCCCGACCCAAACCTGCGGTGCCTTCGCACGTCTGGCAGCTGCAAACAGCACCCCCTCCCCTCCTGGAGCGAGAGACAGCTAATGCTTTTTTTCCACACCGGGGAGCAAGATGAACCCAGCCAGGCTAGCGAGTCGCCTTTGTTGTGTCAGACACATGTCAGCAAGCAGTCTCATCCTTAAAAGCTGGAGCAAAAACAAAACCAAAGCAAGAGTCCAAAAAACCCCAGTGAGCTACAGTTCCTGCCTGGAAGGATTAAGCAGCCATTATGCTCTTATTGCCAGAGCACAATCACGTCCTTTGTTTACATGAAAACTGTAGTAATTTCTTGTGCTCCCAATCATGTGCATTACAGCTTCCACCTTGCTTAATGAACAAACCCCACATATTTATAGTCTCTTAGCAGAGGTCCAGGATACAATTCCACAGACTCGCAGGGTGGCTTTGGCCACAACAGTCACTCTCCCGTTTCCCTTCTGTAAAAAGCAAAATAACCATCCCTCATCTTTACTTCATCCATCTTTGCAATTTAGACTTCGAGTTCTTTGCAGTGGTGTCTCTTTTTCAAAATGCATCCAGCTCCCAGCACACAGTGCCCTCCTCAGAACAGCCTTATGGATATGTATCCAAAAAAAAACCTTTATAAAATATCCACTGATGAGATAAGACCACCAGCACAACAATGCAGTGAACAGCTGTAATCTGTGGGAGGATTGTTTCTCTTTGCCATAAATGCCATCTATTTTTCAAGACACACGTTATTCCCTGTCATAGAAGGGTGAACTCGGTATCTGCAGACAAGTTGCCTTCCAACCAGCACATTTTTCAAAGGCTCCCAGTAGTTTGTGACACTAAATAGAAGGTGTCACATCTTGATGACTGATATTAGTACTAGCCTGCTTGATTAACATAATTTGTTTTTTCATTGGTTATTTTATCCCAGATGAGCTGCTATTCATCCATATTTTCCAGGGGTAAAAAAATATCCATTCTGACGTACAACGCTAATGTGCCCTCTGCAACGACCTCTTATCTCTAACTTTTAATTCTCGCATCCCATTCTCTTCAGTGCATGAAATGAGCTCTAGCACCAGCCATTGGTCAAGAGTCTCATATGCTGGATACCCACCAGGGCTTTTGGGGTGTTTAGGAATAGACCTTTTGTCTGTGCTATGACACACACATTTAAATTTAGCACTAAACTGCTGGGAAAAAAAAAAAGAAAAATATGCAAAATGTCACTTTCTGACAAGCAGACAATTAGAATTCATTCCCCAGAGAATTAAATGGACTTTTCTGCTGCCAGTCACTAACTGTGACAAGGTTAACATTTTTCAGTCTATTGACTAAGGACATTAAGTGTGCATGTGAATAAGAAATAAAGTTACGAGAGGGTATTAGCCAAGTGTGTGATAACAGCCCAAACTGGCAACAAAACTCCAAGGATGCAGATTCTAACTAACAGTGACCGACACCACTGGGTAACAGAAACATGGGGTACATGCACATGGGGGTCATGTTTAATTATTATTGCAACAGCGTAAGCAATCACAGGACTGTATCTCATCTCAAAGCACATCCTGTGTGCTTCCAGTGTCCCAGGCAGATACAACAACAGATGGGGCCTGATTCTGTCCCTCTACTTCCCTCTGTCTTCCTCTTGGCTTTTATCGCTTGCTCCCAGAAAGAGGTACAACTGTATTTAGAGATCTTCAAAGAGAAAGATCATTTTAAACCCAGCTCTGGTTTACAAGCCTGTTCCTGGACTGACAATGCTGAAGAAGAATCTTTTTGGCAGGCCCAGCCACATCTCAGCCCCACAGCGAGCGCAGCTGTAGAGCTGAGCGCTAAGAGAGGCATCAAGACAGCCATTCACCTGAGACCAGCCTTCCCCAGTGCCACGGGTGCCCTTCTCACCTCTCCAACCTGCATTCCACACTGCAGACTGATTACTTTTAGTCCACAACCCCATTACCTCACACTTCCCTGCAATAAACTACCTAAGGCACATATCTGCCTGTAATCCTGAGAAATCCAAATAATTTTGGATGAGTCTGTTTTGTTCCTCTGTCTCCTATCCTCCTGCCTCTCCAACTTCCTCAGCCTTAGTTTATGTCATCAGCATATTTAAGGCACTTTTGGAATTACATTCTGCCCAAGGGCACTACACTGAATTTAATTTTTCCCCCCCCCATACAGCACATTGATGCTTTAACTCCTATCTGATTTATTTATACTGTTTGTTATCAGCAACCAATGCAATCAATACGAGCTGAAGTTCAGACACACACACACACACATTTGAATTATGCATACACTCATCCAGAGTTATAAGACAACTGCTATAGTCCAGATCATCCCTCTAATGTAGAGCCAACTTATAGGTAAGGAGGCTCATAGTGGTGAATTTTTATACCTTGACTTTTGTTTGACCCCAGTGGTTGGCTGGTTACTGGAAACCAAAGAAATCGAAACTTCACAAATTCCATGGAAGAGGCTTAGGGAAGGGATCTCTGCATTTCTTATCCCAAGCCAGTAGGACCATATTTTAAGATGGGCTTTCTGAGTTGAGAGTTTCTTTATTAGCTTCTGTACACACAGGAATTGTAGCAAAACACCATCAGACCATACTAGACAGTCATGTCAAGCAAATGTTGCTAACAGAACAGTGTATGGAGAACTGGAACTTGAAGGAAAACCAAAGCACTAACCTCAATTGCAGCCTAGGTCAGGCATGAAACCAACCTAAACTGGATGCTGGAAGCACAGTAGGAAATGAATAGCTTTTGGCTTCCCTCTGCAAACCGCTATCCATTCTAAATGTTAGTGGTCAGCATGATCCTCAGACATGGTTCACAACTGACCTCTGGTTGTCTTTGAACACAGTTGGTGGTTACACCTCATGGAACACTGCAAATTCCAAACTGAAGGCAGAGAGAGCATGCATACAGGGGCTCTGCTATAGACGGAGATGGAATATGCACACTGGGCTGGAGCCTTCAGGGACTGGAGGCACAAAGATTGATTCATCAGAAAGTTTCAGCAGAGCACGTGAAGTTTGAGAAAGAGGAGTGCGTGTTGTTCTGTACAAACATATTCTGTGTCCTTAGTTAGCTTCAATGCTAATATGAGTGTATCAAGCTAAGCAAAACACAAAATGGGACATCAGTGTCCCCCATCATCAGTTTGGGGTCTCCTGGACTAGAAAGCAGATCCCTGCATAGGTGTCACCTACATCGTTACATTCGCCAGCTGAACTGAAGTTCTTTTCTTTTCTCTGTCCTTTACTACCTTCTTACTGCTCTTCCTGCTCCACCCTCTCCACAGCATAGATCCTTTGCTGCCGTCTGTTACAAGCCATCACCCTCTCTTCTAACCACTCTTCTGAAAAAGTTGTTTCTATTTTTCCTTCCTGATACAAGGTCTTGTGTCACACCAGAGCTGCAGCGGTTCATATCACATGGAGGCATGGGCTGGGGTGCCAGGGCTTAAATCACAGGCTTTAATAGTCTCAGATTTCACCCTTGCATCCTCTCTGGCCTATAGTTATGTGACTTCCAGGAGTCTCTTTGAAATTTTGTTTTAATATTTCACCATTTATCCACAGAGAATAGTTTGGCTTCTCTATCAATGCATTTCTGCTTGGTAACTCCCAGTTTGAATGCTGATTATGTTTTGCATAAAATTAACTAAATTGCAGCCCTTCTGTTTCATTGGTACTTTTTGTCTGCTTCCTTCATGAACAATGTCGGGGAGATTGCGAGCTGACTACAATTCTCTTTCCTAAGCAAGAGGAAAACAACATCTAAGAGCCCAATCAGTACAAGTTTCCTGATGCCTGTTGGGTTTTGTAAGCTGTATTGTACTCTGGCATTTAACAATTTCTGTTCACTTGATTCACTTTAAGAAATGAATGTAATGATTGCCACAGTGTTTTGCACTACTGTTGACTAATGATAAATATGGAACAGGTATAAACAAGCTTGCTCTTTTTTTCTATTTAAAAATTCACTGAGTTGACAAGTTATTTGTGCAGTGCCAAAGTAATGAAGTTTTGCTTTGGAGTGTCAATGTTCAGTTTCCATAGAGAGGTCTGCCATAAGCTGCATTTCACAAGACAAGATCAACAGTGGTGGTGTGCTTCCAGGAGTGCTGATAAAACACAAGCACAAAACTGTACTCAGGTGTTGTACTCAGTCTGGAGGGGCCCATAACCACACAGGTATGGAAGTTTTATCACATTAAAATGGCACATTTTAAAAGAAGGTCTCTCATTGAAAGAACCTTGAATACCAAGGAAGTTTCAGGGCTATAAGCTGGGAGCAGAGGGAGGCTTGTCCGCTGCCTAAAGCCAAGTACAGCTCTGGGTGCAGCAGGTGGGATCCTTCGACACGGAGACTCATCATTTACCTGGGATTTGCCTTGGGATGCGAAGCAGCAAGATGCCTGAAAAATCAATGTTGCAACACACCCTCTGCTCTATCTCAGCTCCTTTATAGGCACATCCATTCACCACTCGGCCTCTCCTCGCGGCAGCTCACTTTAACAGCAGCACTGAGCCTTTCTTTTTGGCAGCATCCGTACAGGGGGAGCCTGGAGGGACAAAGTAAACATAAGCAAGTTTGGGGGGTAACTCAGGTGAAATTGGAAACATTTCTAGAGAAAGGGGAAACATCTGGGGAACATTTGACTTGTGTTTGGAAGTATGAAAGGTGACAGTTCAGAGACATCCAAGGCTTTCCCTAGTCCCATGACTATTTCTAAACAGCAGCAGTCCCTGTCTCAGCCTTGCTGAGCCTCCGGGGGACAGCAGCCAGCGGTGCTACTGAGCAGTACTGGAGTCTGCCCGGGGAGGAGGGGAGATAAGCCAATAATGGTAAGAAAGTGTGATGAATTATTCCTGTGCTTGTCATCTTTATTTCACTTACTGCCTTTTGCATCCATGGGAACCACAGTCCTTCCAAAAGAGTTGCTTTGGATTTCTTAATATTAGGAGACAATTGTGACGTTTGTCCTGCCCTGGGCATAGTTTAATTCAAGGCATTTTTAATGCATTTTCTTCTCCATAATGATACCCCTGTTTCATTATCTAATGATCCCAAAGTTCTTTAACAAGACCTCACTAAAATCTTCTGATCCTTTCCCTGTGCTGCAGCATAGAGAAATAATGGCTGTAATGCAAAATACACAAATCTTTTGTTTCCTTTCTTTGAAAAGGCTGTTATTACAGCTTCCCTTCTTACACACCTCTGTGATAAACAATATTCACAGGGATTCCTGATAATATATAAGACAGAAACCAAATTATCAAGGTATATATATAGGAAGCAGCAGCACCACCGAGCACAGATTTCAGGAATCCAGAGCCTCAGTCCCCTCAAGAGGCACGTTTCTGTCTGACTCTGCAGCTGCCTGCATCTCCCCTGCTTGTTTCTGGTGCGGGCTACAGCAGAGCTGGTGACTTTGACAGGCAATATTATCTGCTTTGTCTACATCCAATTTTTACTCCTTGGAACAGAAACTTTAAGCATACAATGGTGCAACAACTAAAATCAGCATCCAGCAATGCTGCCATCCAGCCCAAAGAGTTTTCCAGACCCTTGTATCACACAACGGCACTCTTAAATGCACACGTTTGTTTCCATCTCTTTGCCCCACTCCTCCTCCCTACCAAGAGTTCCAAAATGTATTCTGATTTCTAGGCTTATTATCCTGATAAGACCAGAAATAGATACAGTCTACTGTAAGTAGTATTTTTGTTTTTAAAATGCCTGAGGAATCCAGGATGCTAAGAAATTTTGAAAGCAGATAAGCAAGTCCCTTCACCCCATCACCGGCTCCAGGAAACCCCAACCTTCAAAGCCCTGAGGCTTAAAACATTGGGGACAGTGAGCGAGCACTGGACAATCACAATTAGCCACTTCTGTGCACATCAATTTTACCTGCACCCTCCCATGGCAAACTGCCCTACTCACAAAATAAGCCTTAACTCATCTGCCAGAGGCGATGGCCAGTCAGGGCCAGAACTGAATTCCAGATGTAGGGATTTCCAGTCCCCTTAAAATACCGTTGAACTGCATCGCCCTGGTCTGTTGCCAGCTACTGGGGAATGGCCCTGGCGAGGAGCATTCCCCAGGGAATTGCAGCTCTCCTACAAACCGTATTAACCAATGGCCAGTTTGGTCAGAGGACAGTGTTATAAATACTTAAGCTACAAATTAAAAGCACATTGGAGAGCAGTGCTGTCAGGCTTGTCATCTTGGCTGCAGCATCACCAGTACATGAGCTTATTTCATAACTAAAACCTGCAAATGTTGTGCAAATGCCGATCACTTGTGAAGCACCATCAGGGAGAATACTTACGTGTATCTGTGCGTGTTGGAAGCCAAACAAACCGGTGCCAGTTCCTCATTTTCCTCCTCACTCCCCAGGGTCCAACAGACACACTGAGTTCCTGATGCAGGACGCCAAGACAACACGCTGAAACAACATCCAGAACATCCTTCAGGCCAGAGTCTGGGGAGGGAAGGGTTTAAGGTAAGGATCCGAGTGTCAGTCTCACCCAGCACATCCAGGTTCTCTTCATTTAAAATACACCTCGTTGGAATATCAGTTCTGATGGACTGTACTTCTGCAGCACTTCTGGCTCACTCCCTTCAAGGAAACGTGCAGGAAGAGGCACTTCAGACCTCTGACATGGAATGGGTTTTACTGCAGCACGATGAATTCCACGCTCAGCCCCGCGCAGGAGATAACCACACACAGTCACACCCCACCACCAGGACAAAAGTTACCACAAGTTGGTTTATAAAACAGTCACAGGATTTATTGAGATAAATACAAAGTTACATAGATTCTCTATTCTGACAAATGAATGACACTTCCAGAGTGTCCCCAAACGCTGTGCAGAGACCAGTGCTGGACCCCACCGAGGGGGTGTCACACCTCAGACCCCACCCAGCCCGAGCTCCAGGAAACACCAACACACTTTGGATCATGAGTGCCTGATAATGTCCTCTGGCATCAGAGCAATATTGCACCCACTAACCTTGTTTTCATGTTCCTTAGCTAGAAATTTTTACAAGTGGTATCTTACCACTGTTGTGGAAGTGGATCAACGACCTAACTTTGCTCCTCCTGGCTTTTAAAATACATATTTTTGCATAATTTAAACAGCCCAGAGAATTGTATGTGAACACACCGCGTTACTCATCATTGCATACATTTGTCTAGTACAAGACGTAAAGTGCAGTCTTTACTCATGCTGAAATCACTTCTAATTTAAAACTAAAGCAAAGACAAACCTTGTTGAGGTAAATCTGTTTCCAGACCCGCACGTTGCCTGCACCCCCCCCGACCTGCGATGCCCCGTTGGTGCTGCATCTGCCCCTGCAGGGGTTCAACCCACCTTGAGTCATTCCACTGGAACCACACCATCAGAGCAGAGGTGATTCCTGGAGCCAGAGAGGTACCAAAACACTGTCAAAAGCAAACTTTGTTGAGCTATTTAGTGAAATTCTACAACTAGGGTTTTAACTGGTGACGTTCTAATGACAAACTCTTGATGAACACCAACCAAACACGCTAAAGGACAGGGAAGCTTGTGTGTTCCAGGGGATTATTGCAAGATTAACTATTTAAGATTATCTGATAAACGGAGTCCTGGGTTGGGTTAACGTTCAAAGTATTTAATTTATATACAGTACATTTCAAACATACTTACATATACACACACTTAAAAAAATGTGTTCAGTGCTGAGAAATTTAATGAACTGATAAAAAACAGAAGTAAAACCTTGTCAGAAAGGCCTTAGAAAATTTGAACTGTTAGAAAATACTAGTATAATGCCAGCATTAGAAAAAGATACTAGAACTAGAAAAAACTAACTTGAGAGATCTTTTTGTTAAGAAGTTGCAATCATAAAAAGTCTGTACTGAAGAAGCATTTGTTTTAAATTATAAAAAAATTGTAAAAAATTAAGGGTAGAAGGTTGCAGAGTTCAGAGAGCTCATGCTGTTTGTGTCCCGGCAGCGACAGCAGAGGCACAGCTCCGCCTGCAGCTTCCCAGAGCTTCTGCAATCTCAGGAGAAAACAATTGTTACAAATACTGTACACGGTATAATACAAGACTTGTTAAACTTCAACAAAACTGAGCCCTCCAAAATTACAGAATCCAGCTGAGGAACCTACTGGCTCTATTGCAGACAAGCCAGATTCAAAACTAAACAAAAAAGAACCAAGTAATTTCTTTTAAAGTCTTCACCCATGTGAACTACTCACTAGTGCAGCAGTGAAATAAGGGGAACTATTTACAAGGGTCTATTGGTGATAAGTGTTGTGATCACAGAGAGAAAGTAACTGTTATTACATGAAACCATTCCTTTAGTATTTAAGCATTAGGTTTTAAACAGGACAAAGGTCCAATCCACAATCTAAAAAACCTAAGACTATTTTCCAGGCCCCACATTATCTGCAGATTTGGGACAGAACAGAAGACAGGATCCACAAAAAAAATCCTAGCTTTGTAATTTTTCTAACTGGTCAGAAGCTATCCCATTTTATTAACAGAACTGTGTTCTTTGTGTTCCTTTTTTCTTCCAAAACACCTGAACACCACACAGAAAACATCCTCCTGGAGCCCAAGGACCTCAGTTCCCCTGCTGTTTGCCCCAGACCGCACCCTTCAGCCAGAAGTCAAAGAGCAGCACCTCCTTCCCCTGAGGACTTGCCACTTGGGGGGTGTCAGAATGTGGAGATGGGGAGCTGCCTGGGGTCTTGGACCAGTTTCAAGGTGTTTTTCAAATGATGTAAAAAAACCCAACCAAGACCATGAGTCTGTAAAACTGTATAATGCCCCCCTCCCTACAGATCCAGCCCCAGCTGAGCCCCTTCAACACCAGGACTGTGCTGGGGCAGGAGGAGCGATTCTCAGTCTGGGCCATAAAGTCATCTCCTGCTCTGAGTCTCAGAGCTGGCAGTAACGAAACAGAGGTGTTACCTGCTCTAGGGGTATAGCTCAGAAATAACAAATTAATAGAAGAGCCACAATATAAAGCATCTTAAGCTCTCTGTGCTTTGAAAAACATCACATTATATTAAGTAAAAATGAACCATGCCTTATTTCTAGCAGAGTAACTACTCCATAAAGTGAAATGATTTTTGAGCTTTTTTCCACTGACACAGAATTAAGTTCTTCATCCTTTTTTGTTAAAATTTGAAGTTATTCACATATGTAATTTTTTTTTCCAGTAAATACTTGAAACAATACAAGCCTATAATAGAAGGAAAGAATATCTTAATGTAAGTTTTCTATGATCAAGTTTAAGATTTTGAAACCATTTTAAAGCTTATAGCAGACTGCTCTACTACTGGAAATATTTTGTGAGAAGCTGAAATATGAATTCCCATGACACTGAAACACTGTGTGGTGTGAGACCTTACACACAACACTTCACTGCACACCAGATCAGAGTTATCACCCGCATTTACACAGTAAAAAGCGGCATTAATCACTCGTGTGTATCAGACAGACACAGCTGCAGAGAAAGGTGCTCACAAGATGAAAATTGCAACGTTTCTCAATAGACCCTTTCCAGCTCACATCGGTAACAAAAACCTCCTTATTTGTCCCCATTATTCATCCTGGCCATGCCCATGAGGCCAAACACTGATGTTCAGTGTCTACAGAACACACTAGTTGTGTTTTTCAATGGCGGTGCTGTCCGTGTTACCCTGCTTGAGTTTGATGGTGGCAAAGAAGGACACGTCTTGGTCTCTGTCAGACTGCAGGGCTAGAACAGTCTCTTCTGCAGCCTCTAGGTGAGGATTGCCAACACTCTTAAAATAAGCTAGAATAAGGGGAGAAAAAGACAATTTTAATCAAAGCCAAAAGAATAACCCCTTTAGTGTAAGTAGTGCAGAAACACAGAGAATGCCAAGAACTTCTGGGGGAGCTCATCCTATTCATGGGCTGCTTTGAAAACTACACCAAGCTACAGCACTAACAGAGAAGAGAAACCTGTCGCCGCTCGCTCACTTTATCACCTACTTCAGTATTTTGAAGCGAAATTCCTTTCGCTGAGCCCTGCATAGGAACTTATCAACAAGTGAAAGCAAGCTCAGGAAGCTGCCACTGTCCAATGCTTTACAAAGCATTCCCTGTATTTTATTCTGAAAAAAATACAGGGAGAGAATCTTCCTTTGAATAATCAGAGATCATCTGATGCTTTTGTTGTTGTTTTGCAGGAACTGTAACATAGGTGGCTGCAGCAGCACACAAAATTACATTCTCTCCTAGTACAACTGTGAGCTCAACACTACAATGACAGAACAAACCATTTCAGAAAAAGGCATAACGCTTCAGCTTAAGGACCCCAAAGATGACTAACTACTTCGTTAACATTAAGGCCTGAAATATAGCAAAATAGTCTAACACGATGCTTAAGAAAGTGTATTTGCCGCCCCCCTCGCGGGTACCAGAGCGCCCCAGCACGGGTGTGCCCACGGCCACTACTGCCCTCCAGCGGACCAAGGCGGTATTGCCGGGACCGCGACCACACACGGCCGGGGGAGCAGCCGCTGCGGCCTGCACTCCCGAACCTGGGCTACTGCGTGCAGCCCTCTTTCCAGTATAACCACAATAAGGCTGATTCCCTTTATAAAGCACTGCACGGGCAGAGCAGAGACAGCCCCATCAGATATCAGTTCTCACAACAGTAATTAATGAGCACACCTTTCTCCAACAGCGTCTGCCGCAGAGCCTTGGCCAGCAGGACCCTCACGTTTGGCACCGGATCTGAAGCCAGACTTAAAAGACTGGGGAGTAAGTGTTCAACAAACTGGTCGACAGGCATGCACTCTTCTTCCACTGCAACCTACGGGGCAGACAAGATTTAAGGTAACAATACACTGTTTGCCATTCCTTCCATCTTCTTCATTTGGCCTGACTATCACAAAAAGTCAGTGTTTAACTCTGAAAACCACACCCTGCATCGGTGAAATAGGTACAACCTTTGAAATACTGTTATGAAAATGTCTCACCATTCTAAAGTTCATCTAAAGATGATCCAACAGGAGCAGATAACTTTCTTTCAACTATATTTTAGGAAATACTGCTTCCTTGGCCTGTCATCACCCTTTTGCCTTTGACATCCAACCCTTGCTCCTTGCTGCTACCCAAGTCAGCGTTTCAGGTTTGGAGGGGGGGCATAAATGGAAATAAAGAGGGAGAGAGTTCCTGGCATCAAGCACCCACTGGCAGTTTGAGGGGCTCTTGTGAACCTTCATCTTCACGTGTCAAAAGTATTACAAAATGAATCTCAGTTTTGGACTTAATTCCTAAGTCCACCAGGATGCCAGAAAGTACAAGGATCTTCAGCTGGAGACACAGATCAAAACGGCTCCAAAACTGGGCAGCCATCGGCTAGTGGTGAGACAGACCAACTCTGCCCCTGCCTTTGTCACCCCACAGCATCACAGAACCCAGAGAACGACAAAACAACTGAGAGTCCAAATTCCAGCTCTGCTCATGTTGTGGTAAACCCTCAAAATGGCTCCAAATTAAACACACATGGAAACAGAGAGCACATTCCCACCTGACAAATGAAGGCAAACGCTTGTCTTCCAACCCATTTGGAGCAGTGACGAAACCGCACAACGAGTTCATTAATGAAATTCAATCCCAGTGCATTTGCATTGTTTGCATAGAACTTCTGTAGAATTGCTACCACCTGGGAAGCAAAGGGGGGGAGGGAGGGAATGAAAAAAAAGAGATGTAACGTAGCCCTTAGTGTTAAAAAAAAGCATCATTTCATCTGAATCCTACAAAGGAACACCAAAGTATATTCAGTGTAATCAGCTATGCTTGCACAATTAATCACTATGCTTATTCCACAGAAAAGAAAGCTTCAAAAAGCTGCTTGTTCAGGTGAAACAAAATCTCTAAAAGAAATTAAAACCACCATTAAAATAATACTCCTTTCCATAGTACCATGAAGAAAAGTAAGAAATTAAAATAAAAAAATATCTTTCTACTCATTCAGCAGATCTGTGGGACGATGGTGCTATCATGAAGTCTATAAATTATATAATCTTTGATAAAAGATCAGTAATTTTTATTTTTTTAAACAACTGGGAAAGTCTCTCAAATTTTCTATATCCTGGTTTCATCCAGTTAAAAATACATTTATCATTCACATAAAACAACAGAGAGATGTTCAAATCTGTGCAAGGCAGACAACTCAAAATTTGTAAAGCCTTCATTTAGTTTTTTCCCCGTATTTTTTCCCATGTCTATCAAAACATGTACTAATCTGCCCTACTTGTCTGAAAGGAAACACTGATTTCAGGTGTCCCTCTCAAGGATTGTTTTCCTCCTTCCTGCCAGGAGGTGAACTGAATCCCCTACCAGTTTGAAGGAGATCCACCGAACTTCAGAGACTTTATCGGAGCAGAGCGTGAGCGCGATGTGCCGTAAGTAATCATAGACATCATTGGGATTGTAGAGCTCCAGGATCAGGATCAGCTGCCTGAAACACAAAGACGGTTGTTACACTAACTGCTCCAGTTCTACCATCTGTTGGACACAGGGAAGGACCATTTGAAGCCTGGAAAATACCACGGTTATTACAAAGCACTTCAACAATTTGTTCTTCTCTTTACTTTATAAAGGTGCACACACCTATTAAAGAGCTTCATGCTTTTACCTCAAGGGATTAAAGTCCAAGAGAAACTTTTATCCAAACTAACCACCTGGGAAGCAAAGGGGGGGAGGGAGGGAATGAAAAAAAAGAGATGTAACGTAGCCCTTAGTGTTAAAAAAAAGCATCATTTCATCTGAATCCTACAAAGGAACACCAAAGTATATTCAGTGTAATCAGCTATGCTTGCACAATTAATCACTATGCTTATTCCACAGAAAAGAAAGCTTCAAAAAGCTGCTTGTTCAGGTGAAACAAAATCTCTAAAAGAAATTAAAACCACCATTAAAATAATACTCCTTTCCATAGTACCATGAAGAAAAGTAAGAAATTAAAATAAAAAAATATCTTTCTACTCATTCAGCAGATCTGTGGGACGATGGTGCTATCATGAAGTCTATAAATTATATAATCTTTGATAAAAGATCAGTAATTTTTATTTTTTTTAAACAACTGGGAAAGTCTCTCAAATTTTCTATATCCTGGTTTCATCCAGTTAAAAATACATTTATCATTCACATAAAACAACAGAGAGATGTTCAAATCTGTGCAAGGCAGACAACTCAAAATTTGTAAAGCCTTCATTTAGTTTTTTCCCCGTATTTTTTCCCATGTCTATCAAAACATGTACTAATCTGCCCTACTTGTCTGAAAGGAAACACTGATTTCAGGTGTCCCTCTCAAGGATTGTTTTCCTCCTTCCTGCCAGGAGGTGAACTGAATCCCCTACCAGTTTGAAGGAGATCCACCGAACTTCAGAGACTTTATCGGAGCAGAGCGTGAGCGCGATGTGCCGTAAGTAATCATAGACATCATTGGGATTGTAGAGCTCCAGGATCAGGATCAGCTGCCTGAAACACAAAGACGGTTGTTACACTAACTGCTCCAGTTCTACCATCTGTTGGACACAGGGAAGGACCATTTGAAGCCTGGAAAATACCACGGTTATTACAAAGCACTTCAACAATTTGTTCTTCTCTTTACTTTATAAAGGTGCACACACCTATTAAAGAGCTTCATGCTTTTACCTCAAGGGATTAAAGTCCAAGAGAAACTTTTATCCAAACTAAATGTACCAATGAATCAAAATTATCCCAAAAAATAACAAAAATTAAAGATAAGTACAATGGGAAATTTCTCTGCAACTTCAGACCAATGCCCTGTGCATTCTTGCAAAGTAAAACAAAGATTTACTTCAGTTAGAAGTCTGTATTTCAGAGACCAGTTCCTATCTGGGAACTGCCCAGAACTTGTTCCAGCCCCAACACTGCCAGTAAGTGACCAAGGGGGCAGCTCCCCACTGGGTGCCCAGGAGCTGCTGCACAACCTTCTGGCACCCCAATGAGGTTTGGGTTCTTGGGCCAAACTACCAAGGGGAGAGGAAACCCTCAGCAGCCCAAAGCAACCAGATAAACACTAAGGTCAGATCTTAGCTGCAAACTATGTCTACAAATATTCTTTGGGTGCTTCAAATATCAAAAGGGCTTGTAGGAAAAGAATTGTGGGATGTTACTCTGTCTCCATTATACACACAGCCACAGGGAAATACCACTGAATAAACCAATTTTTTTAAGACCTGTTTTTTCTTTCATACACATTAGAAAAAGTGACTTTGTATGTAGTTTTCCTTGATTTTCACAAGACATCTAGAGCTGAATAAAATCTGAAACCTCACTGAGGAGTATCTATCAAATTGTACCAAAATGGATCTGGTTGGCTTGCAGCCTGTGAAATATGACAATCACAGACCTTTTGGTCACACTTGATTACAACAGAACCTGCCAACTCCTCTTCCCTAAAACTCCCAAAAGGTCCCCCAAAAGCCCCAACAGCCAAATCCTTTTAAGTTCAGTTCCTTAACACAGAATGGGTGTGCTAACTTATTTCCAAGTTAGTAATGTAGATTAAAAATCAAAAGTTAACAAAATTACATACTCTGCCAGCTCGTAACGAAACCTCCAGTTCCTGCTGTTATCAGTCACCACAAATTCTTGAAGCTGGTAAAGATACTCTCGCCTTTTGTCTGCATGAAGTAACTAAAGGAAACATGTTATTAGTATAAAAGTGATAAAATTCAATACCTGCAGTTCTGTGGTGTATTACTCCATTCACATCTGGGTGCATTCTCCTACTTGGAAGCCACTGATCATTCACAAGACACTTAAGGATTTGTGCAGAAGCAGCTGAGTGCCTGGACACACAGGACGATACCCCCAGGAGCACCTCACGTCACTGCCCTGTGCAAGGACACGTCACGGCACCGCCCCGGGCTGAGACCCAGCAACAACAAACCACGGGTTTGTCCCTTGTGCAGCAGACCCACCAGAATCTGCTTTTCTTCACCCCCAAACACAAACTGCCAACACTCCCAAACCCCTGTAGGACTGCTCAAAATACTAACTCCTTCACAGCAGCAAGGAGTGTTTACAACCGCACTGACAGAAAGGTTTCAGTTTGGGTATTTTGTTAGGATGTGAGGCAGGAGAGAAGTGAGGGATCTAAAAAAGCAATAGGCACACACACAAAATGGCATTATTGCACAAAACGAAATATGTAATTAGATGTGAATACCTGCAGATCTCATTAGAAAACTCTTAATATAAAGGAATCAGAAAAAATTATCTTGAATGAAATAACACTTTCCTACCTTTAGAAAGTCATACAGATGTTTAAGGACACCAATGCGAACTTCATCCAGGTCTTTCAAGAACCCATTGAAAATGGGCACCAGGTCAGCAGCTGTCAGCTGGTCCCCCAGGATAACAGCCAGCTCGTGTATGGAGAAGGCGAGCGTGCGACGGACCTTCCACTGCAAACGGGTTAAGGAGTGAACTGGATTAGGCACCATAACTAAAACAAAGAAGCTTTTGAACTACACCTGTGTGAGGATTGGGGGAGCAGAAGAAATAGGGCTAGTTACACAGCAGTAGAACATGTTAATCATATTTATGAAGTCTGATTTATATCTGAAATTTTTTATTTTAGTGCACATTTCATCTCATAAGTATACAGTGTTACAACTCCAGTACAACAAACGCCAACAAAAAAGCTACTCAAAATTCTGATTTATCATTAAAAAAACTTGTTTTTTACCTGTACATCAGAGGCCAGCGTCTCGTAGGTATCCTTCAGGCAGTGCCAGTTCTGCCTGCCCAGTGTCAAGGCCACCCCAGGCAGGCTGTAGGCACAGTGCTTGGCTATTTCTGTATCAACGGTCTGGGCTCGAGCCGGGTCCGTCATCGACAAGTACTGGTCCAGCAAAGGCTGAGGTATGATATCCTACCAACACAGACAGCACGTCAGCAACACACACGTGGAGAGGAGAATGAAAACACACCACAGTGCTGCACATTCTCCTGCTGCCCACCAGCCAGAAGTGGGCTGGCTTTGCCCAGGGCAAGCGACTTCTTGTTGGGACAGAGCAGTCAAACACTGTTCAGCAAATGTTACTTATCAACATGTTCCATGAAACCAAACTGGAAATGCCTTCTTTGCTGAAGACAAACAGTAAACTCAGTGGGAAAACAGTAGAGTCAGGACCTACCTTGGTTGCACAGATGCCTCAAAGGCACCAAAGAGGCAACAGAATTATTCTGATTTAAAGTAAGAGTTCTCCTCAAATGCCCAGAACATTTCTTAACATTCTGCAGCTGATCAACTGCAAAGCTATTGCTGCAGTAAGCATGAGATGCCCTGTATTCAGTGTTCCACTACAGCAGTTAGATGTTCTTGTCATCACCTGCAATTTTGACTTGTCATCTTCAAGTGGTGGATTATTTTCTTGCTCTTTCTTTAAAAATACACTGGTTCCTCTGCGTGGTTCCTCCAAATCCTGTGAAAGGATGCACGAGCCGGTGAAATGAACTGGGCTTACTGCTGTTGGGGGATTTCAAAGCATCACACTACAGTTCAGATACAAAACAGCCTTTTACAGACAAAGCCCAATTCAGTGTTTATACGAATACGGAAGACAGAGCTGTACACTAAAACAAACACTATTAAAATCGCAGCAGCAACAAAGGGAACAGTAGTCAAATTTACCCAGCATTCATACAGATTTTGGATGGTTACTTTTACTATACTCTTCAGTAGTTTTTCTTTTTGGCATTAATTTAAATGATACGAAACAAGACAGCTTAGCAGTTGCTCCAAGGCAGTCAACACCATGATAAAAGCTTTACTTCAAACAAACTGCTGGAAATTCCCAAGCCTACCAAATTATGGAGCACACACCTCTCCCCACATATCAACAAAACACTTCAAAACAATTACAAGATTTAAAAGACCAAAACCATAAGAAGTTCAAAAGCTCACACAGTATTTTACATTTTTGTTCAGAGGTTTTATGTGCAATTCTTGCTGATTGACAATGAGAGCTTTTCTATTTCACAATTAGCTCTAGCAACACCACATACTGTGCAAACAATTCTTTTTACTCTTATCTGTACATTATCAAGAAACAGTAACGAGGAAATGCAGATGTGTCAGCACCTCATTCAGCCTCGTGTCTGGAGGTAAAAGACTAATTTTAGATGTGTTACAGGATGAAGTGTGACTGTACTTGGTCCACGTTATCTGGAAGAAAACCTACAAGACTACTGCAAAACTTTTGTGTGCAAAAAGAAATAGCCCCCAATAGCTTTTCTTTCTTAATTAAAATAAGTCACATAGGATAATTATGGTGTGGTGACACTCAAAGGCTTCAGATAAGTGGGTCAGTTATGGCAGGGACACAAACACACCCAGCACAGGAATGGGTCAGGATTTCACAGCTCAGACACTTACTGTGCTGCTCTGTGCACCGCTGGCAGACAGGTCCCTGGGGTCGTCCTGGGAGGCAGGGGATGAAAGCACGTCCTCCTCTGCCTGGCTGCAGGTACCACCTGAAACAGCCACTTCATCTGAAGTGGTTTTGGGCTGAAGTTTGCCACTGCTTTCTTCAAGTTTCTTGGCCTCACAGTCACCAACAGAATCGAACTGAGCAGCTCTGAGAGCAGCAGACAACACTTGGACCTGAGCTGTACAAAGCAAAAGACAACTATTTAGTCTCTCTTCTGCACTTAAACTTGTAATTAGTTAATCTGAAAAGATAAGAAGCCCAGAAGCACAGAAATGCGGTATTTTAGCAAACATTTGCTCTTACAGTAAAGGCCCAATACTCTGCCACAAAACCATCACAAATTAAGAGCAATGATTTGGACGTATTAAAATTTTCAGCAGAACCATTCTACTGATTTCTACACTGAAAGGTATTTCTAATAATCCCCTGGAATGAGGTTATCACAGCATCCTGTCTCACCTCCTATCCTTCATACCAACAAACAGTTTAATATAAACTCTTCTGCTACATTCTTTAATTGCTTCTATGGCTTGGAAAAGGTGCCAATGTGCATTTAAAACATTTCTGAACAAATCTTTATCCAGAGGAGTGAATTGGTCAAACCACCTCCAAACTGTTTTGCAGAAGCAGACAGAAAACAAAAGGTTGGGTTTATCCCTATCACCAATCAAGTTCTGACAAACTCTATTCACTCATTATGCCTCATTGCTGCTGGGAACATGGAGTTCCTGAGAGTTCCCAGTGCAGGAACCATGGCAGCCACATCTGCACATGCATATGGCAAGCACCGCCTTTGGATGAAACACTGGCGCATGCTTTAAAGGCGAAGAATACTACAGAAGTATGGATCAAAAGCATATTTGTGAGTGCTTTGGCAGCTAGAGCAGGAGGAAAACAGGAACTAACATCCACATCGCCTTGTTCTGAGAAAGGAAGCAAGACTGCTCTGCTCAAGTTGGGGGGAAGCAGAAATCTTGTTTTCTCCTCTGCCTCTCCAAACCCCTCCCTCTCACTGTACAGAGTCACAACATCTCTCCAGTTGTCCTCCTTCTACGTAACGGGGATTTTGCTCTCTTCTGCTTTTAGTCTCTGCCTTTTCTTTCCAAAACTCATTTACACTATTTTTTTCTCTTTCCTTCATTCATTTCAGTTTCCCTGTTTTCCTTTACTACTTTAAATTCAATTTTTTCACCTCTTCCTCCTTTAAATCTTTCCCTTTCTTTCTGATCCTTTGCCACTCACAGGTGAAGATTTTATTTTCCTGGTACCTTTCTGAATGACTACAGGGAGTCACCTAAACACGCTACACGCTGCCAGGGGCTCGCTCCTCACTGCTACTGCAGTAAGGAATCCAGCTGATACTGCTCCCAGACATGACTTTGCACGGAGAGAGGCATGGTGAAACAGGCAGGTGAAAACTTAATTCACTAGAATACTCGAGACTTAGTGGGACAAGAAACAAGCTGACTATGGAAGACAGGCTTGTCAAGAGGGATCAGGCCCAGGAAACACATGCATCCTGCCATCAGGGCATCACTACTTCAGTGTGTTCATCAACGGGCTTGTGTGGAGAAGCTCAGGAAATTAGGGCGATTCTCACTCAACAAAATATTAGCTGAATTCAGCTGATAACAGGTAGTTCTGTTCCTGAAACTACAGTACTTGGTTACAGTACTTGAAATTCAATACAGTTTTAACAGATTTCAACCAGCTCTTTTCCCTTTTGTAGATTGATCCAATTTATTTCCTGTGCCAACAGGAGCTAGGAGCACATCCCAGCTGTTCTAGAAATAGCTCAGGTCTTGTGATAAACACTGTTGTGTAACTTTCTACTATAATTTACTCCTCGAGGAAGTCTCATCACCTTATGAATACCAAGCCAATTAAAATGCAGACAAGGGGTTTGTAAAGACCAGGAGGAAACCTGCTCAGAGAAAACATGATTTTACTGTTATGGACTCTCACCTTGAACATCTGGATCATCTATGTGCTCTTGTAAGCTTTCTAGAACTTTTTTAATTTCACTACTAGCAACACAGTTATTACACGGCACAGAACAGCTATCTTTGTGCTTTTCAGTCTTGAACTGAAGCAACTCCAGATCCTGACTTATATCAGGCAGAGGAGGGCGCCAATACAGAAAAGTATTAAATACGTCCTCAGCAGACTGTAGCCTTGAGTTCATTCCAGGAAAACTGCTGTCCTTAGTGACTTCTATGACACCAGCAGCAACTCTGTCACCCTGAGACAATCGAGACACATCTTCTCCAGGACTGGTACAACAATCTGAACTTTCTTCCTGCGTATCTTTACTTAGGTTCTCAACTGAGAGCTTTGTATTAACTTCAGCTGAAGTCTCCTCAGTCGATGGTTCTGGTTTGATTTCCACTGGTTGTTCTGAACTGGTAACAGACACACACAGTTATCCAAATAAAACTTAAAGTACTCTAACAATAGTTTTCAGTGAAATACTTCAAAAAAGACAGCATCAACTACAGAAGTTTATTTTCTCTGCAGAAAGACAGACGTATGTTACCACTATGCTTTGCTTTACCAGTTTTGCCTGAGAAGCCATCAGATGGCATTTTTCAATAAAGTGACTACACTCAAATAGACACATGCATGATCTCACTCTTCATACCTTTCCCTGGAACTATATTCTCAAGTTGAGATTTTTAGCCCTGAAGAGCAACAAAAAGAATTCTTTTTCTCTCCTGCGCTACACCACGTCTTTCCCCTGGTTTTACCTGGGCAACGTGGCGTTTGTAGTGGAGGGCACTAAAGTGATGTTGTTGCTGGGCTGGCAGGAGTTGGAATTCACATCTTGCATCAATGGCCGGATACTCAGCGACCCATCTTCCCGAATGTAAAGACCAGCACTTGAAGGGTTTGCAAAGGTAGAAATAAATGGGCCGAGAGACTGAAAAGCAGCCTGACGAACCTGTGACAGTATAAGACAGTCAGGATTCATGCAACTCCCAGAGCGTTAATGCTGAGAAATAAAAGTTTAATTCAATTTTTTTGTAAGAACCAATTGGTTCTTACTATAACAGCTTCATTTAATACCAATTATTTAATAACCAGTTATCAATACCAAATAAGTGACATGTAAGCAAGGGGTGTTAGAATATTAAGCATGTACCTACAATCACAGTAAGGAAATTTTGTAAAAGTTATAAATTTGAAGGACACCACTGTCTACTTCAACTAATACCTTTAACACCAGGAACCTACTCTTGGAAGAGTCATTGTACTTACCAAAAAACCCAACCCATTGACAGAAATTCTAAGTAGTAAGAGTGAGGAAAAACAACCAACTAATTTATTAGAGGAGATTAGATTTTATTAGATTACACTCTCGTCCTAGCAAATTTATTTTAGAGACCTTTTAGAGCACACTTTGACTTATTTGTGCCTGATCTGCCTGGGAAGATGCATCGGTTACAGAGCGAGTGACTTACCCATCTGCAAGTGTCACTAATGAGGCTGATGAACAGCGGGGACAGTTTGCTTCTGCGAACTTCTGGGGATGTGGTGTAGGACACTGCCATAAAGCACTCAGCACAAGCTTTTCTCATTCCCCAAACACTATCGGAACAGAGTTCAAAGAACTTGGGAATCTGTCAAAAGTGACCAAAACCAAGACTAATTAAAGACTGAACAAAGACTGCAGCAACTTACTATCAAGGTACTTGTTGGGAAACTGGAGACAATGGTAACTCCAGAGAGAATAAACTAAGTGAAAAACAGAGAAAGAGGGACAGGTTAAAAAAATCTATTAATTGAAGAAATTGGAAAAACCATGTATCTCTCACTTATTTCATTAGGATTTTAGGTATAAGTCTATGCACTAGGAAACAATAGGAGAATTATTAATGGCCTATTTTTCCTGAACTTCTAAGTTGACTGATCATCTAGTTCAGAATAAAAAGAGTCAGTAATCCTACAGTGTGTGTATATATGTTGTCAATTACATTTTCTAGAATGTTTTGCAAAACAAGAACTTTGAATTTCTATTAATTTCCAGTTTTGCTAAATAATTGCAGCCAAAGCCTTAGCCAAATCAATTTTAAAAATGCACTAATTTACAGAGAAGACAATAAAAGAGCTCATTATTAAACCTTTTACACTGAGAAATACAAGTCCTGTAAATTGATTTTGATTTTTACATACCAGCAGTCTTTCTGTGGCTTCTTGCCCAACTGCATTACAAATGTCACCAAAATTAGCTGCACAAATCTAAGAAATAAAACAAGTCATTAATAACATTCTGGCTCTTTCAAGTGCATTAGCTTTATTATCAGCTTCATCATGCATTATTTATCCCACAGTAACAACTGCACGTTTGACTATTCAAATTTCAGCCACGTAAACTACATCCTATAATATTAACTCATCATGAACAAAGACTCATTACAGCAAGCTCCTATAAGCCACACGCCTTTGAAATCAATAGTAATAAAGGATTCAGCACAAAAAGCATTATCTACTTCAGTAGTGGCTAAAGGGGACAATAAGTCTACTGGAAAGTTGAAAGGACTCTGAGCAGCAGCTGTCAGAAGCAAAGCAGCCCAGAACACGACACCGGGGCAGGACTTAGGTGTTCCCACTGACACAGCTGTCTCTGCTACAGCCAGCCCTGGCCTCAGCACTTTGCTGAGGCAAAGTTTAATCAAGGTTTCAAGTTAGTGCCATTTACGGTACATTACAAGCGCTATAATTACCGCAACAGGAACATCTCCTTATGTTGGAAAAAGAGTTTGCCAAAATTTGAAATCAAGTAAGACAGGACTGTGTTTATATATAATTTATTCATTCTATACTTTTATTTAGAAGGTTATAATGCAGCTCAAATTCCAACAAATGCAGCTTATGTTAAGGACCAAGCTAAAACTCTGCATGTCCCCTAAGTCTACTCAAACATTTTAAGACTTCTCACACCACAAGATTCCTTTTGTACTCCAACACGAATTAAAATCAGTCTTACACATTTGGGATTTCTCTTTTCAGACTTTTTTTAAAGGAAGGATGTGTCAAATATGTATTACTTTTCAATTTCTGGTTTTGAAATAAGATGGTAGAGATCAGGTAAATTGTTTGTAGCCGATCACCAAGCACAGTGGCTTAAAGATAAGGTTGTGCAAAACTATTAAATGTGGAAGATCAGCTTAACTGCTAGACCAAAGCTATTCACCAAGGACTGTGACCCATTCCTTTTCTGAACTACAGAAACTATAACCATGTCAATAAATTAAAACTGCTCTTCCAGACTCTTTCAAAGTTCATCAACTAAAGTTTTGACTAAATTATTCAGGAAGGCATTTGAACAGCAACATACAAATTCATTTTTAAGTGTTTAAGGTTGAAAACACACCAACCTTTCTGACTTGAAACAACTTCCCATCACTGCACAGTTCACAGAAACGAGGAAGCAGCATTTGCTCAACTGTCGTTCTGCTCAACATAGAAGCCATTTTACATATTATCTAAAAAAAATATAACCAAGAAGGAAACACATATAAGGAAAATTATAAAGCTTATAAGCACAGCCATATATTCGTCAAAAAACTACCTCCCAAAAGCAAGACAGCAACCACCACCAAATAGATTTAATTGCTACTCGTTATTTGTATTTTCATACCCCTGTTTTCTATGAAGCACAACTGTAACTTTTATTCAAAATCATTCTGTGCCACTATGCCCAAACATTCGTTTTTAATAAATGCGCTTTCAAGGTGTTTTACAATATGACATACACTGATAGTCTGTATGGAGAAGACAAAAGCTCCATTGCGCTAACCCAACATACAAAAATCACAATCTTTAAGCACATTAAAAATATCTCAAGCTTAAGCATGCAATTAAGTCCACTGGCTTTAATAGGACTGTTCGGATACTTAAAAACAAGCACAGTCCCAGGCCTTAATAGGCTCAGACAATGTGATAAGTAGTAAAATTCGGCCATACAACAGCAAAGAAAAGAGAGTAAGACAAACCAGTTATGTGTGTGAGCTAATGCACACTTTACAGGAATCATCCTCAGAAATTTCAGAAGTTAACATCACAGCATAAGTAAAGAAAGTTCTTGAAATACTCATTAATTTAGCCTTGTCTGAAGAACCATCAATTTCAACTACCGTTACAAACAATGTCTCTGCTATGAAAACTCAGGTGCTTTGGATTGTATGTCTCTTTTCAGCTCCCACTTTGAGATAACTCACTGCAATTCTTGTATTTGCAGCAGTAAAAAGGAAGGGGCTCCTGTGCACCCTCCTACTGTTCTGGCTGCAGCACCCGGAGTTCAATGCTCACACGAGTGTTGGCAAATTAACAGTACTCAGCTTCCCATTTTCATTTGTCCAAAATTACCGAAGATTTCTACCTCCACAAAAATAAGCTTTATTCTTAGAAACGTTTGCCTTCATAACAGAACGCTAAATGAGAACTAAAGGCAGACACCATTCAGGGAGTTTCCTCCAAATTTTCAAGCTCCTAAAAGGCAGCTTGTGTTCATATGTCACCCTGGAGAAATGCCCAAGCAATTCCCAACTCCCAAATGAGGAAGATGAAAATCTAGAGGGTAAAAGTGTCAGATATCCATGCTGAAATGTAATTACACACCAGCACTTTTCTGTAGAGTCAACTGATTTCTTGAAAGCCAAGAGGGAGAGGTTTTTCTTTAAATCAGATCATCATTCCTACTTTTACAACAATACTGTGTATATTCTAGAAGAGCTTTATAGTAGCACTGCTAAAAGACAGAACAAAAGCAATTTTAAAAAAGGCAGATATTTAAGATCTCTTCCAAATTCACTTACGTTCACAGCTTCCACCTTGTACTCATCATCACTGTCAGGAGCAGAGAGGTCCAACAGAATGGGACACACCTTATTTTCAATGTCACTCTGAGCAATAAGATCTTGCTCCAGCAGTATAAGCAGTGCTTCTTGACCTGCCTTTCTAACCTATTAATATGAACAAACAAACCCAAAAAAGTACATCACTGAAGGAACATTTACTGATCTGAGCACCACAAAAGGCATGTTTCCAATGAACACACAGGTACAAGTTTAAGAAAAACTGTTTTAACACTATAAGGAATTAGTAATAAATACTAAAATGTTTCATGTAATCATTAGATGATATTTCATCAAATTCTGGTAAGTCAAAAGATGAAGCAGAAGACAGGACTAGTAAGTCATGACTCCTGTAACAGATGCTGACAAAATGCTGTAGGTAAATCCTCTAAGTTTCCCATTATCTGCTAAGGAAAGTATAAGAACAAATCCCAACTCCCTAGCAAAGTGTGCTGAAACCAATAAACACAAAGCATTACCTACAAGCCAGGTATCAATCAGAATGGAATTTCCTATTATCTCTTCCTCATTCCTCGAATTCACTGAGCCACACAGAATTTTCCAACGATTCAACTCATATGGTCTGTTTGTCCTACCTGATTGTTAACATCTGTGAGGTATCTCACTACTATGGGCATAAGGTACTCAAAGAATGCTGTTGGGAATTTTGGTCGACTTTCTTGCAGAAAAATGGCAATAGGAGGTATTTGTTCCATCAGCTCTGTGCGTACAGTTGGTTCTAGTAATAAACAGGAAGTCAAAACTACATCAGTAAATATGAAATCAAGATCAAGTACCTTAAGAAAAAAAAAAGCCTTTTTTTGTTCAGTGTTTTCACAACAGAAGAGAATGAAAATACTCAAAACATAAGAAATATCATCACTGAGACTGCCTGTTCTTAAAGGAAAGCTGAATAAAATAAACAGCCTTACATACATCATCACAGCCCAGAAATCTGGGTAGTTCCCTAATAAGTCACATAAAATAAGAGCACCAGCAAGAAAACCGTATCACCATGAATGCATGCACATGAAGTATTAAATGCACAGCTGTTGTGTGCTGCATACACCACAGGTTCAGATATAATCAATTCCTTCAAAGATATTACTTCAGGCTGTATACAAGTAAGAGCCTTTTCTTTATACACCTACCATACAAAATACTTCAAAAACAGCGGAAAAAATATAATCCCATTTTCACTGACAGCTATTGCTCTTAGATCATTTACTTTCTTTAGTTCACTCATGCCTTGTCAAAATTGAAAGTTATTACCTTCTACATTAGCTTATAACTTACAGCTTATAGTTTTGTAGGCCTAACTTACAAAAATTAAAAAAAAAACAACAACAAAACAAAAAAAATCAAAAAGAACAACTTTCAAACCTGCATCTTCAGAGAGCCTGACTACTATTTCCATTACAGTCAGGAAGTCTTCTTCATTGTTACTGAAATCTCGAAAGACATCCAAAAGACCTCTGGCAATAATTTGCCTGTGGAGTGAACAACATATTGATTGCCTTAATATTTTGCTAACAACATGTAGACGGGGTACAAGTGTAACCTGGCACCTTAATTATCAAGCTCTTCTCTAAACAGACATACCAGTTATACAGCTTCTCCATGTCCCAAAAAACAAAGATGGAGTTGAAAAATCTTACTTAGATGACGAAGAATAAAAACTTCTTTTAATGGAAATGTTATATAAAAGTTATTCAAAGAGAAGTAGTATCATCACTTAGGACAATAACAACAAAAGCAGTGACACCTTAACCTCCACACTGCTATCAGACCCTGTTATCATCAAGCAAAGGAGTGGTTACCCTTACCTGTTAAATATGTTATCACTGAAGGCATATTTTTCTAGACGAGCCAGTGGAGTTAAGTTATCCTGTCCAGGAATATCCAAGAATGCCGTTATCCTCATGCTATCACAGTCTGGTCCATAATCTTCAAACCCAACTTGAAAGACAAGAAGAGTAACCCACAAAAAAAGAAAAAGAAAAAAATCCAAGTGTCAGCAATAGATGTTACAATGTAAAACACACAATACAGTAACTCTATTTCTTTTTAGAGATATTCTTCAAAGGAAAAGTACCTGTACATTCCTGGAAATGTCTTACCAAAAAAATCTTAAGTGATACCTAATGAAGTAAAGAGCCACACTTGCAACCTGTAAATTCAAGAGGGAATAGGATAACTGCTGCCAATTTTTTTTTAGGCCTTCATCCTTAAAACAAAGACAGTGAAATAATCCACCCATGACAAATTCTCTCATTTCAGCAATGAATATAGGAACACAAAGAGCAACCAAAACCCCAGAGCTGATACTCCTGCTCTGGGTTTAGAACTTGCCCAGCCAAGCAGTCCTAGAATTACGCATACTTTGTTCAGGTAAGTGATATAGCTACTGCCATCATACTAAGTACATGCAAACCCAGCACAAACTGCTTCTCACATTCAAGAAGTCTCTGAAGTCAGCATAAGGGCTGAGTGACACCCACTGAAGAAAACAAGCCAGTTTCCAACTTGGCAGGACACAGAATTAGGTATTTTAATCAGTAAAGAAAGCACAAAACTGGTAATAACTTGAGAGCACAGTGAGAAGCCAAACAGGGCATATGTGGAACTGCCTGTGAGACTACAACCGAGGCACTCAGTGATGTCCCCTCTACTGCAGAGACAGCCTGTCTCCAGGAAGAACTCACACAGTGCCTCCATATCAAAGATCAGCAGAGCTTTGGGTAAATAACTAAAAGCAAACCAAGAAAGTTTCATTCCTAGTACTAGTTTCCCCTGTTTGTAAAATGGGAAGAACAGGAATACCTTCTCCCACTGACACTCTTTGAAGATTAAGAAAAATATATGTAAAGCACTATATAACCCCCTATCTTCAGCATTTTGGTTTCATTAAAAAAAAATCTACAGTCCTTCCCACTATGTCATCCCAATCAGTATAGAGCTTTTGCACATCTTAAAGTCAAGCCTGTGCTATTTCATAACGTACTTTGAAACTGCCATACTCAAACCCAGCTCTGAGCATCCTTAGATATGTAACCAGTCCATGATTCTATGATATCTGTGCAATTATAATGCATATATTAAGATCCACAGAGATCGGATACTCTTTCACTAGCTAATTTTTGAGGCTAGCTACCTGTTATACAAAGATAGATTTATTAGGGTTTAAAAAAATAAAAATCAATATACTCGTCATTAACTTTATCTACTGCCCACTTCTTCTTTAATTAAGAAACAATCTAAAAATACAGGCTCTCTCTCATCTGTTCACTTCAAATAGTTCATATTTCCTACCAATTGAAATGACAATGAAGCACATCTCAACTTTAAGTTTCACTATGATACTACGCCAGAGACTAATTTTGTAAACATGATGAACACATTTAATTTTACTACTTGGAACAACTCTAGTATTCATTTACATTACTTAACACACACCAGTGCTTCTCTGACCAGAGGGAAAACAGAGAAAACTGGTTATGCTCAAGATCAAGAGTTAAATACTTGACATTTTTTCCACACTCAGTACACATAAGTAAGAAACAGTCATGGCAGAATCCATTTTGTCTTCTCTCAAGAACTTTAGTTTTCTTTTTTCATAAAAGAAGCCGCCATAGGTACTTACAAGTTTCAAAATACACCAGAGTACGAAAAAGTAAATGACAGAAAAATTATGAGCTAGTATTTAACTGATTTATGTTCTTTCCTAGATCAAACATTTAGTATTCTTCCTCTATCCTCTAAGGATATCAAACAAGAAAGCTTGAAATCTGTCTGCCTCTAAAGAACAAATGCGACTATTCACAGTTGAATTGGAGCTCACCAAGCCTTAGCTTGGCCTAGGCTCAAAAGCTGCTCACAGCCTGTAGGAACACTCCATGTCACAGGGCTTCACTACGCGATTCTCCACCATCAGCTGGTAGCACCATCCACTGTCTGCAGTACAAAACAGGAAATGCTGGTGCAGAGCCCAGTGATTTCATGAGCTTGAGGAGATGATTTTCTCTCCTGCTGTTTTTAGAAGCAAAAGCAGTTTTTAAAATACATTTTCTTTACAAAGGGCATAACTAAGCTAATTATTTTTCCAGATTATGCCATATCTTTCCTTACAAAAAACAAGTTTCAAATTGTACTTGATGAATTTAGGTAGATTTTTTTTTTAGGTAGAAGAGAAAACTGGAAAGGGAACTGGGAGCAATTCAGAAAGTCCCAATCAATTCAAATTGCTAAACATTCATTAGCGCCATCAAGGGGGTTGTTTGGGTTTTTTCTTGTTCTGTTTTTTAAAATTTGGACAGCAAAAGATATTTTCAACTCTGAAATAAGATACTACAGCAACAACAGTTGCAGCTCTTCCATTGGAGAAACTCACTGCACAACAGTCCTTAAATCACTGTAAGCACATTGAAATACACCAGTTAATTTCTTCCCACTTAATGCAGACATGCTTTTTGTTACCGAAGGTGATGACTTCTTACAAGCACTATCCTCCATGCTTCTTACACTTTTTTAGATTTCTAGTTTCTCAAATAGAGAGCTGTATTAAGGAAGGGGGATGCTTTTTAATTTGTTTTACATTCGTTCATTAAAATTCACAAACTAACCATTTGTATAAGAGAAACATTAAAGATATTTTGCAGTACACAAAAAACACAAAGCAAACCAAGAACCATTACATACACGGCTCATCTCACCACTTATACATCACTTACATCGCAAAAGATCCCAAACTTTTCTTGCAAAACTTAAAACACAAACGACAGACCACTTTATTTTAACTACCTACTAGTGAAATGCAGAAACCTCAAAGACTGAGAGCAGCCACCAGCAGAACCCTGCCAGCACGGGCCCTGCACACCCTCCCAACGCAATGTGCCACATCTCACTGGTGCTCCAGCATTTCCCCAGTGCTCCTGACGAACACCTTCTTCCTGAAGTAGCTTATTTAGGCTAGTCTGGGGGGGGAAATCCATATGCTACCTGTTTTCAAATACCACTAAACAATAACGGTTTTGTGTTAAACAAAGAGTCTCTCTCACAAGAAACAAACTCGGTTCTCTTTTTTTTTAACAGAAAAGTCAGTCCAGCGCCCAAAGCACCAGTGAAACCACCCCACACGTACAGCCGCTTTCTAAAGCAATGCAAGTTCATCCGGTTATGGGTCAGGGATTTACCTCCTCCGGTATCACCTCTGACGGAGCCGCGGCTCAGCTCTAGCCCCGTAACTCGCCTCAGGGCTACCGCGGCCGGGCCCGGGGCTGCGGCCCGCTCCGGGACCCCCCACAGGGCCTGACCCCGAGCCCGGCCGCGACCGGCGGGAGCACAGCTGCGGTGCTGCCCCTCTCCAGCCCGGCAGACGCCGGTCCCCTGCTCCGAACGGCGCCGCCGGCAGCTCCCGCCTGCCTCGGGCCTGTTCCCACCGACAACGGCCGCGGGGCCCACCCCTGCGCCGGCCCGGCCCGCCTTCCCCCCGAGAGGCACGGCGGGCCCTGCTCGCACCGCGCCAGCCCTAGGAGGCCTGGGGTCTCCGTGGAGGCCGCTCTCCAGACACCGCGGCGTCCCCTCGCCCTCAGCGGGACGGCGGCCGCCGCCCGAGGGCCCGCCAGAGGGGACCGGCCGCTCCCGGTCAGCGCCGCGCCCCGGCGGATGCGCAAACACGCCCCTAACGCCCTGTGAGCCCTCACCTACCGACACCTACAGCCTCACCATCCGCCCTCCGCCCTGACCTGGGTACGGAGAGAGGGAACGCGGGCGACTGAGGGACCCGGGGTGGGAGAGCGGGGAGGGCCTAAGGAGGGAGCAGAAAAATAAAAACCAGTTACTCACAATCATCTAAGTCATCCTGCAAATCCACAAAATACAAAGGGATCCCTACAAACGAAAACAGAAGAGAGACACCGGGGGGTTGGTTTCGGAGGGCTCCGGCGAGGACGGCGGCAGCCCCAGGCGAGCCGCCCTGGCGCCCCCCGCCCGCCCGCCGGCCCCACTTACCGGCCATCTTGGAATGGACATGGGCGAGGAGGAGGAGGGAGCGGGAGGGCGCAGGGAGGAGCCGCCGGCACTTCCTGCCCCCGGGTCACCCCGCGCAGCCGGAACGCCGCCGGGTCGACACACAGACACTGCCGGGGGCCACTCGCCCCTCGGCCCCCGCCGTCGCCTCCCGAGCGGGGCAAAGCGCGGCGGGCGGGGGTGCGGTCAGGTGACGCCGGCGGCCGCCCAAGATGGCGCCGCGTCCGCGGAGCCCGGGGAGAAAGGTGCGCTGGTAACGGCGGCGCGGAGAGGCGGGGGCTGCCCCGCAGGCCGCACGCCTGCCTCGGAAAGGGCTATGGTCGTTCTGCGCCGCGCGTCAGGTGCTCGCTAAAGGCGCAGCCCGTCCGGCCATGGCTCTGCGGGAGCTGAAAGTTTGCCTTCTGGGGGTAAGTGCGGTGCGACCGGGGCCCGCGGCAGGCAGGGAGGGAGGGGGACTGCTGAGGGGCTGGTCGGAAGGCCCGCTCTGGTGGTGGGAGCCCCGGAGGGGTCCGAGCGCGGGGCTGCACTCGCCGGGCGGGCCTGGCCCCTGAGGAGAGCGGGCGGCCGGAGGGGCCTTCCCCTCCGCGGGGGCGTCTTCCAGAGGCGGCCACCCCTCCTCTCTCCCTCGCTTCCTTTAAAAAAAAGGGAGGAAGCGCGAGCATCCAGCGTGTGTTTCCCTCCTTGCGAGCTGTTTTGGGCTTCGAGCTCACTAAATAAATAAATAAATACCAGCACCTGAAATGAAACTCGCGGGAGAGAGGGAGGGGCCTGAACTTTTTTTTTTTTTTTTTTTTTTTAAAAAAAAAGCAACATATGTAGGCTTTGGAAGTGTTGCAGGTGGTGGAAGAAGGAGACATCAAGTAAACCAAAGTAGAAGCTTAAAAAAAAAATCGAAGGCTGTGAAGCCGTGCGTTTGCCGGGCCTGGGCCGGGGGCTCCCCCGGATCTCCTCAGGGCAAGGGGGGGGCATCTCCTCCGCCTCCTGCGGGGAGCTGAGTGACCCCGGCACCGTGCCCGGCTCCCGCATGGCCAGGGCGCCTGTCAGCGGGGAGACCGCCGGCGTCTGTGCTCCTCCTGCTGTGGAGGCATTGGGGGAGCTGCCATTGGCGTTGGGGGAGCTGCCGTTGGCGTTGGGGTGGCTGCCGTTGGCGTTGGAGCTGCCGTTGGCCTTGGGGGAGCTGCCATTGGCCTTGGGGGAGCTGCCAGCCGCTGTTGGCATTGGCCTGACCTGGGAAACCCTTCCTCGTGTGGGAAAAGGAGAAGGAGCACCCAGGAAGACTGGCCGTGGAGCTCCCGGAGCCGTGAGCTGCATCTGTGTAATGCGTTTTAAGATTTGTGCTGCTTATTGAGACTAGAAGCATTATAAAATACAGAACAGAAATAACATGCTTTTCCTTGAGAGGAAAATAGCTTGAAAAAGTTAAATGCAAGCATACGTACTGTACCCAAATTTACTTTATTATTCAGAAGATTCAAGAAAACGCATGAGCGGCGTATGACTTCACTTTCAATTAAGTAGTTCCTCAGGGTTTTTTTTCTTTGAAATTTTAATGACTCTGGAGATACAGAGCAAGAAGTTTGTCTTCACCTCTTGTGATTAAATGCCCGTTTAAAATGTCCAACTGCTATTAAGAACAGTTTTACTGGTGATAGTTTGTTGTTATTTCACTCCTAAATATGCCTTCTGTAAATTTTTTTTTTAAACTATGGAGTCAGTGATACAAATACATACATGACCCAAAATTTTCATGTTACGTTTCCTCTTTTACCATTTATACTTCTATGGGATTGCATTAGAAACATATTTCAGGTGTGTCACAGAAGAAATTTCAAGTCTTTCATTATGCTGGGTGGGACGGCATTACTCAGAGGCTGAAATGCGTGTGTCACACATGTATAATTTAATGTGCTCCATTGGCTTGCAAAGCTGGAGGACCATACTCAGGTGCTGTAAATTTTATTAAAAATGGTAGATGGTCTTTCCCTAGTCCTGTTCAAATGCAATTTGTGCATAGCTTTGGAAAAAAAAAAAAAAGAAAGAAAAAGTTTGAATAATTGATAGAATCACAGAATGGTTCAAGTTGGAAGGGAACTTAAAGATCATCGAGTTCCAACCATCCTGCCCTGGGCACAAATTATAATAACCATGAACGCAGAGTTTTGTAGTCCTTCATCAAAACATCCTAACAGTTTTGTTTAGAAAACTGTGACTTGTCACAGACCTTTCATTTTTCTACTAAACGAGTATAGTACTGGAAGTATTTCAGAATCTAAGATTCTCTGTGGGAATGTGTTGTTCATGCACAGTGTATTGCAAGATTTGAGGACAAAAAAGATCATTTGTTTATAGTAACTCATGTCTCTTTCACCTGTTTCTGTTCTTTAGGACACTGGTGTGGGCAAATCAAGCATCGTGTGGAGATTTGTAGAAGATAGCTTTGATCCCAACATCAACCCAACAATAGGGTAAGAAGCCAAACAAAGTAAATATGACTTATTCAAGAATAAAACCAAATTGTATTAATATGTATTTGTACCTCCTGAATAGATCACTTGCGGATTCTCCATGTGTGGCAGCTAAGTGTGGTGATAAACATGACTGGAGCCTTAATTCGCCTCTGAGCTGCCTTGGGAAGCACAGGAGTATGTTCTACACTCCTGCAGCTTCCATTGTTTTGTCAGATCTGGCCCATTTTGTATTCTTAATCAAAGTTAACAAACTGCTGCAAGGAGTACTGGGCTATGAATTAATTACACTATAGGTGCTTCTGTTAAAGAAACAGCATACTTTTTTCATGCACTACTTTAAAATTTCCAAGTCTAATTATTATGCAGCTATGTGATTATTTTTTTAAGGCTTGTTTTTTTTTTTTTAAGAGTCAAGTACAATAACAAGTCTCCTAGGTTTTTAAAGGTAGTTAACATACTAATTCAGGTTGTAGTCTTCATGAATTCCTTTTAATGTTATACATCGGTATGCAATACACACACTCGTAAGTAACTGATGAAATTGTTAGTGCAGTTGGTCTCACAGCTAAGGATGTTTGAAAGTTGACCCTCAGAGTAGCAACGTTATTGAGCTCAAATCTTCAAATGGATAGAAGGAAGAGGGAGCATCAGGAATTCTTGGTTGGATCTTTTTATTTCTTTTTATGTCCTTTTGGCTTTGCTCAGAAGTAATTCCTTATTTGCGGGAAAACATGACTAGACTTGGTGCTGAGAAGTGTGTGTGGGGTGTCGGTGCAGCTTCCTGTCTCAGGTGTCACACAGGCTCTACTACAGCTTTGACCAGAAAAGATCCTGCTGATAAAGATGTGTCTCATCCTGTCCTTCTAAAAAAAATGTGGCTCCCATGATATCTCTCTCCTCCCCGCTACACTCTCTTCCTCTTTTTTTGAGCGTAAATACTGGTATGGAATTGCAGGATAGTCTGCAGGAAGCATGCTTTTATTTTAATTTCCCTGTTAACAAACATAGCCTTTAAGACAGATCGCTAAGTAGTTTTCTTAGATGTTCAAGGGTTGGGCCTTCATAGTTACTGTCAAATTAGCTACAGTAGAGGTTCTTTTTTGGAGGACCACAAAAGTGATGTGTAGACAGTAGTCATATTGCTGTTTGCATAAGTAGAGGCGCAGGCTGTCTCAGGTGTTTAACTTCAAGTTCTATAGAAAGTTCACATCTAGAGAGTTTTGAGCTTCTTACAAAACTAAAGCTGAGAATGTTTCTGTGGTTACTCCTGGGCTTTTGAGTGAATGAGATACAATCTCAAGTTTCCTGTTAGTTCCCATTCCTCTTAGATATACCTGAGCAATCATGTGTTGTCATGAACGCTCATCGTTCGGGTTCAGATATGGGCAGCTGGAGAAACTCTGTCGGAATTCAGGACAGCTCTGCTCTGCCTGAGCAGCATATACCTCTAGGTGCTCCAGAACGTCTTTGCTATAACGTCTGTTATAGCACCAAGGAATTATGAAGGAGTATAAAACTACTTTCAGGTACATCTTGTTCATGGGAGAAGCAGCTAGGAAACTCAGTAGGGATAATGCCTGTTTTCTTACTGGAAGTCCTTGAGGGTAGTTCTAGTTTGGAGGCTTTTGTTGACCCAAAAAGTGTCAAGCTGTTTGTTCATTTGGATTTTTTTTTTTAATCGATGTGTTTCACAATGAAAACTTCCACGTCAAAGAGTTTCAAATAGGATTTAACCTCTGTTGTCAGCTACCATTTGATATGTTTAGTTGTGATATGAATTAGAGCAACACAGCTGTTCCTGTACAGGAATATTTTGGTTTATAGAGCTGAGTAAAATAAATTTTCAGTGAGAATCTATGATTTAGGAAATTGTTTCCCTACTGGCTAGAGAATTCAGAATTGATGCTTAATTTGTAGAAGTCTTAAGAAAGTGGAAGTCTTTACTGTGCTTTACAACAGCTACTTCTATTGCTTTATTTTCCGTTACTCGTTGCTAAGATACATCATCTAGTTAACTGTTGAAATGCAGTGCAGTTATACTCTTTAGGGGTGCTGCAACCTTATATTTAGCTTCTTAAAAGAGTAATCAACTTTGGAGATCCACATACTGTTTGGCAAATCATCTGAGCTTAAGGAATGGGGAGATTGTTACCTCTGAACAGTGGAAAGCATTGTGTAATTGCTCCCTTTCTTTATTTTAAATGCAGCTAGCTGTTTTGTCCTCCTATAACATGGAAAGACCCCAGTTATATTAACTACAAAAGTGTTGTGGACATCATTAAAAATCTGTACCCTGGTGGTACTTAATATCTGAGATAAACTGCAGTTCAGAGTCCTGGTCTCTGGTGTTCAGTGCTGTTGATCATCCTCAAAGTCTCTTGTTCTCCGACTTGGAATCTCCCGCAAGCTTAGTGCACTGTGAGGAGCTGCAGCACAGGCTGCCTCCAGGACCCTGTCCTGCACCCTCTCCAAAACTGGCAGCAGCACAGGTTTGGGAGTCTGCAGTATTTTCGAGTGACAAGAATTAAACACACAAAAGATGTTCAAGATCATAACGTAGGATCTCATATGCTCAAAATAATCATGGCATCTGGAGGTATTCAGACCCAGCCTGGACACGTTCCTGTCCAGCCTGCTCCAGGTGACACTGCTCTGCAGGGGGTTGGACTGCATGATTTGTGTCCAACCCCTATGATTCTGAGATTCTGTGATTCTTCCTATTCTACAAGGATTTGAATTCAGTGTGTGGCTTTCTAGTAAAAAATGTGCCTACAGGTAATAGATATAGCAAAGAACTGCATCTTGTAAAACATTAGGTCTCTGAATTCCTGTTCTTGTGGGAAATACACTGATTCATGTAAAGCAGATCAAGTAAAGCATAGAAGCACTTTGCAATATTTTGCAGTATCTTACTGTAAAAGATCTGGAGCATAGGAAGAAATTTTGTTGTCTTCTGGAAGTGCAAGAGCTTCTGCAGACTCAGGTGTATAATGACAGGATTTGGGAGCTGTACAGAGCACAGACAACAAGGAAGTTGATTTCTCATTATTGATCATTATTGATTTCTCTGTCCTCTTAACACCTACAATAGTGATATGAGTCTCCCATATTTTACTCCCAAGCATGGACTTGCCAGTGTTTATCTGAATGCTAGTACAGAGATAGGAAAAGCTGATGCAGAGGGAAAGGATTTGATCTCTTTCCCTCTGGAAGTTTCTGGTATTCACTTACGTGGTTTGCTGTGATGATTCCTCCACTTAGGAAGAATTTGATAAAAAAGGTGATCTTTTTTGGTGGTATCATCCTTTATTTTTATCAAAATCTTATGAACAATAAAAGCTTGTATTTTGCATTCATGGTCCTTCTGTTAGTTGCATTTCATCCTCTCAAGGGAAAGTTCATCTCTGAGGCCCTTTGCTTCATTAATGTCAGGCTTTATGTATGAAAATCTTCTTCAGTTTTGAGGGGACCGCTTTTATTGGAATGTAAACCTTTTGACAAGTTCATGGTAGTAGTGTTCTAAGAACATATTTATATTCTGAAAAGCATAAGCTGTAATTTTTTTCCAGGGCCTCATTTATGACCAAGACTGTACAGTATCAAAATGAGCTGCATAAATTCCTGATTTGGGATACAGCTGGACAGGAGCGGGTGAGTAGAATCAATATCTGCAGTGATAGTTCTGACTAGAGTTTGGGCTGCTCTTCAGCCCCACCCCTGAAAGTCTCAATGTGATCTGGTTTTACCAATACCTGTCAGAAAGTTTTCTTTTATGCAGGTTTTTATCAAGGTAAGAGTGCTGTAAATCTGGTTTTACTTTTCATTATTATTGTGGTTAAAGTACAAAGCTAAGGATGATTACCTAAGAAGAGGAGCTTATAAAACAAAAGCCTGGGTTTAGATTCCCTGAAGAGGAGTGCCCTTTCAAAAGAACACAAGGCGGGGGAAGGCAGCAGCTCTTTCTAGTACCATTTCTATAGCTGGGTTTTAAACGTTCAGCTGCAGCACTCGCAGGCAGTGCAATGGCAACAGGAGAATCCAAGTGAAATGAATGATCATGTTTCATAGTACAAGTGAGGCCCTGGTTCTGGAAAAATACATGACTGCTAGCACATTCTGTTAGCTTTGGTCTTAAGGTTATTCATGTGAGTAGGATGTGGGTTTTAGGCATTCAAAAGAAGCATTACAGGCAATGTTATTGGTAATAACTAATCTTTTATTATTTTGTAAAGTTTTACTTCTCAAATCTGATAGTGTTAGAAGCTATATCAGGAACTCTTATTTTGAAATTTAAATTTTAATTTGGTAATTTGAGGTTTTGATCTCTGCAGCACGAGTATTTCTGAGGGGAGGCAACAGAATTTTCCAAGAAAATGACTAATCAAATGAAATCACAGTTAATTAATACATATTCTTTTTACTTAGAATTTAAAAGGAAGACTTTGCTAGTTTACTAGCTGATTTATGGAATACTAGTAACAGTGGTAGAAATTATTGTAGCTATGTTAACAGTGCTTATTCTTGCAGTTTTTTGACTGTTAACTAGCGGGAATTGTCAGTTCCTCATGATGAGTTTATTTAGGGTGTGAGGTAACTGTAAGAAAGGTAGACACCAGACCTGTCCCTGGTAAGAGTCAGTTTGATCTGGTTGGGTTATTACTTTAGGATAATAACTGGCAAATGCAGCTGTACTATTTTTCAGGATTGGCTCAAAAAACGGAGAGCCCAAGCAGAAAAAAACCAGCACAAAACAAATCAAAACCAGCACCACCAAAAGAACAAGAAGAAGAATATAAATCCCCAAAACAAGAACAAACCACCCGAGTTGTAAAGGCTCAGTCATCCCTGGTCAGAGTCACTTGTCTTTCTGACGTCCCGGTGGTGGAACAAACTTGCTAGCTATTTAGCTTGATAACAACTGTGGTGACTACAAAGTAACACAAGTATATTTGTATTGCATTTTGGTGCTCTAAATTTTTGAATGACAGTTTATTTCCTTCCAGCAGCACCATATAAAGCAAACTTACATGTCAGGGATGTGTCCCAGCGATATGCCCAATAGTATGCATGTTATCAGAAATACCCAAGAACTTCCATTACTAGCAAGCAGTCAGCATTTGCTGTAGATAGTTGTAAGTTGACATCCTAGCCCATTCTGAAATGTTAATGCTGGATATGAGTCTTCTGAGAGCTATAGTGTGAATTTTGAGAGGCTAGTACTCTTAAATGGAAAGCTTTATAAGCATGCCTGCCGCAACTTGGCAGGAAAGATCCATTCCATATTAGCATTCCATCCTGTTCCCTTTAGCTGTGCTTGCAAGCAATGGGAGAGTGCTGTAATCTGCTTCCAGCACACTACAATCTGAGGAAGCATCTCTGTACATGACTAGCATGATCCTTGTCTTTCTTTTTTTAGACTTTGGGTGTTACCTCTTTAATTTTCTTCCATATAAATTGTGTGATATTTTTCTTTAAATAAAAAAAGAAGAGATGTCTTAACCTGGGCTCTGACCCAAGAGCTGTGCTGTCTGTGAAGCTTCTGTTCCACTCCTGAGAGTGTCAGTGTTAGTGTCATGCCTGTGAGGCCCCAATATATCCAAGGAAAATAGTGAAATGGGAGCAAGGATATTTGCTTTGAAATGATGTCAGTATTTTCATAGATGTTTCTTTCTCCAAAACAGAACAGCACTGTCACTTACTGCTAGTCATAAATGGTCTGAATACCTGCCTTGCCCTGAAATCTGCAGCAGTTTTCTGGTCCTGCAGCACACTGGACAATGAATTATGGACAGAATGCCCTCCATGGTGATCTGGAATACCAAAAATGTCCACATCATTCTTGAAATTGAAATGTCTCTACTGAGCTATGATGCGTAATGCACGGAATTTGTAGCCTTGGCTTCTTGAGGAGCATTTGCTATTTTCCACTTCCAAAGCCCAGCATCGAATAGTTAGCGCTGCACTGGGCAGCCCCTTGTTGTAGATGGCTTCAGGCAGTGGCTGGCTGGCTCCATCTGAAGGTGAGCACTAACTCACTTCCCGCAGCTCATTTCCCTCTCTGTTCTCCTTCCTTCTGCCAATACAATAGGAGATTACTTATAGCAGTTAGGATTTTTGTCTTCTTTCCTAAAAATTTTGTCAGTTTCTCTGGATTGACATTGTCTTAATGATTATGTCAAAACACAAATTGGAGGCTGGAGGGCAAGCTGAAGTCTTTGAAAAAATAGCAAAAGGAAAATTCAGTGTTTCTGGTAACATCTGTTTTGTTAATGTATTTTATCTGCTGACTGCTCTTAGGTGGAAAAAGCTTCTAAGTGTTAGCAGGCAGGAAATGAGAGTAATACAAAATCAGCAAATGAGAGCTGGTTTATTCCCAACATAAATACTCAAATAATCAAAAAGCCAGGTTGCAACCAGGCCAAGTGGTGGTTTACCAAATAGGTTTCCCTTTACGTCTTACTACTTAGGAGGAATAGCGGGATTATGTCCTAACTGAACTGAATGGCTGCCCATGTTTCCCTTTCCCACTATTAAATATTTTTATATTCTGAACTTTGTGTTTAAAGTCCTGTTTTCAAAACAGAATTTGAGAGCCAAAACGTAGACGGTCTGGAATTCTGCTTTATAGCAAGATTTTTATGATTTATAATATTGCTCTCAGTTGAACTGTACTAAGCAAAAGGAAATAGGTATTTTATTAGAACCGAATAAGCCTTTATGAAAAACTGTATTCTATTCATGATTTTTACCCTGAGTAATAACATGCACAAAAGCTCTAAATCACGTACGCTTACATGCAGTTTACGCTGTCCTTTCACTGAGAGGTTTTGGTTGCTAGATCAGTTGTCTGGTTCACACTGTTATTAAGAATGGTTGATTGGCATTTTACTCGTGCTCGATCACTTTTTTCAGTCCTGGGTTCATAGCACTCTGCACATACAGAGGTACCCGCCTGCTTTATACCCTGCAAATGCACTACCAAGTAAATACGCCTGCTGCCGATTTGATTCTGAAAATTACAATAAAACTACTGTAGCCTTTTTCTATCTACGTGTTCTTTAAAGCTCTGTTTGCAAGAGGTCACAGTTGTGGGCTTTTGCAGTTCTTAGTTTTGAACGTGCTTTTGAGGAAAACTTAAGTGAAATTCCTAAAGCCGTAAGTTAGATCACAAAGAAAGCAACATTTCTGTCATTTAAGAGTGCCATGACTGATCCATGGGGCTATGCATTGACGCCGACTTCCAAACATTTCACATCAGCAGTGGCACACTAGTTTTCTTAAGATTACTTTTTGTCCAAAAGCATGAGTGTCTTAAAAAGGAGGAAGCAAGTTCAATTTTGCCTATTTTTCCTTTGCTTGGTGTTTGAAGTTGAGCATATATCCTGCGGGTTTGTACTTGTCTGTAATCTACAGTCTTTTAAATGAGATTCTAATCTAGTCACAATAAGGTCAAATTTGGCTTCCTGCTTTTTGCAGTAGGTGTGCTCCTGATCCCTAGACTATTTATTGGTTGGCTTTTGTAAAACAATACTTTCATGAAAGTTTATGTACTCTACTGCACAGCCTCTCTGTCACTGTAAAGAAAAGTTTTCCACTAACATGGACTTTGTACCTAGTTATCACTTTGTTCAGTAATAATAATAAGGAAGTAATGGGGTTCAGCAGAAGATCAGATTGATAATGCGTGGTGTCTGTCTTTCAGTTTCGTGCTTTAGCCCCGATGTATTACAGAGGGTCAGCAGCAGCCATCATAGTGTATGACATCACAAAAGAGGTAAGAAATTTGAGCTTGACCCAGCATTACAATTTCTGGTTTTTTTGTGTCATGGGCCAGTTCTGACTCTTAATTCTTTCTGTTTTGTTTTTTTTTTTTTCTTCTCTTTTTTCCACATCAGGAAACTTTCTCAACGTTAAAGAACTGGGTTAAAGAGCTTCGACAGCACGGACCTCCAAACATTGTTGTAGCTATTGCAGGAAATAAGTGTGATCTTAATGATGTAAGGTAAATAACAGTTGACAGTTTGGAGATTTTCACTTAAGCTCATAGTGCTAAATAGGTTTAAGATTTCGGAACAGGTGAGAGGTGCAGAGCCATTTAAGCCACTGTGCACTAGGATTGTAGATTCACAGGGGGTCTGAGCTGTTTCTGCTGCCAGAAGATTCGGTTAGTCAGTCCTGGGACAGTGTTACCCACTTCCTCCCCGCTGTTGGTGCGAATACGCATGTGAGTGGGCAGTAAATCAGGCTGTAAAATGGATCCAGGTTAAAACTAACAATTTAAAAAAAGGAAAACTGGTCGGAGTGTATTTCTTTCTCACACCATGAACGCTCGCTGGCACGACAGAGGAGGGACAGCGGGGCCAGGAATGAGGAGTTTACAGGGAGACAGGATTACCTTTTCTGGTGGCAGTGCCAAGTTACACAAGCCTGAACTGCCCGTGAAACTACAGTGTAATACAAGCTGTTTACCTCACTTTATAAGAAGTGCTCCTGTCAGTCTGTAGCACCTCATTTTGTTAGGAAAAACATGCAGCCTGTTGGAAAGCATTGTGTAGGTTTTTCTGACTTGCTTGTTCAGGTGCCTTCCTTCCCTGCTTAAATATTGGGGTGGAATTGGCTGTGGCTGAAATAGTTGCAGGGAGTGGGGAAAAGTTCTTGAGAAACTTTATGAACAGCCAAACTTTGAAGAAGGCATGAATTAAAAACAAAAGAAGCCCTTTTTTATTGATGTTCTGGTTAAATAAGCCAAAATTCAGAAAGAAAGTGTGGGCAAAGTTCTTGTTTTAAGATGTCATTGGAAAAGGTACCACAGCTGGTGTCTCAAAGTAGACAGATGGTTGTGTGTTTTAAGAACCACTGCAGTCGGTTCTTAGTATAGTTTTACAAATTGTTAATATATAGCAGTTATCTAGTGAGCTCTAGCAACTTTAGTTAGACGTTGCATGCCTCTTGAAAGAAATAGGGCATAAAATTACCAGAAGACAAATACAAGGTATGCAATATTAAGTCTCACACATTGGTGCTTAGGTGGCACCATAAATTATATAAACATTGCTGTTCAAGGTAGTGAGCAAGATTCCTTGTACTTTAGTCAGAGGCAGTGTTTGAGTCACTGATGCAAAGTCTGTGCTTTTGATATCCTCAGTCCCTTTTTGCTGCAAGCAGCCTGTGTTTTCTAGGAATTGTATGTAAAGTGATCCAAGGTGTAGCCCAGTCCCCTCTCCACCCCTTGGGTCTGTTTTTTTGATGTTGGTAAAGGAAACATACCTCATTATCAGCTTGCCTACTTAAGGGTGCAAAATAAGTTTTCTGCTTCTTGGCTCTCTTTTTGTGTGCTCAGTCTAAATCTGTTCCCGTTCATAGCTGCGTCTCTGTGCTTCCCATAAAGTCAGTGCTACACTAATGGTCTGGCCAGTGTTGTGAGATACTTGCTTTTGTAAACAGCTGTAGGAAATCGCCTGGAGTAGTGGAACTAATGCTTTAGTATGTTTTCAGTGCATCTAAAACTGTTGTTTGTGTGAAGAATAAAGCACCCCCTAAAGATTGATTGCAGACCTACACTTGGAGCACGCAGGAAACGAACTCCACTGTAATGTTGTCCGATGGGTTCAGGCCTCCTTTAGTCTGGGATTGTGCCGCAGTGATGCTCAACCCTCAAGGCAGAGGGATAGTGTAGAGTAAAGAATGAGCATCAGCTTCAGGATGAGGGATCAGTGTGATGCCAAACAAGTAAAATACAAAATATTCATTTAATGAAACACTTAAAAGCTTAATATATCCCTTAAGATTTTGAATAATGTGTTTGGGTTGAGTTTTTTTTTTTTGCATTCACAATTTGTTTGGTTTTTGCTTTGTTTTTCCAGAGAAGTCATGGAAAAAGATGCTAAAGACTATGCAGATTCCATTCATGCAATATTTGTAGAGACAAGTGCGAAAAATGCAATAAACATTAATGAACTCTTTATAGAAATTAGTAAGTATTTAAACAGTTAATGTGCTTTCTTCTGAAGGATGTTCAAGTAGAAATTTGATTACTGTATTAGTTTCTGTGCTATTTAGGTGAGAATATACTGACTTAAATTTGTTACAGTCGGAGATGAACACAAACTGCAAAATGAGCTGTATAATCTCTGGTCTTCTAACAACCTCTAAATATTCCTTCTAGAGATTTTAAGCCTCGTGTGGTGCTGGTGGATAAATAGCAAGCAGGGCACTCGTGTCAGAAGTCAGTGTCATCTTACTGGTTTTGTTATTGAATGTTTCAATTAGTACTTCCAAGGTTATGCAAGGGAAAGGAAATGGCGCAAGGAAGATCCAAAATTTATACAGCTGTGAAAAGAAATTAAGTTTAAACTCTTAGTGTTTGTACTTACTCTAAAACAGTGCATTTGCAAAAATACAAGAATTCATAAATGCCAGATTACTGCATGGGAAATAGCAATGATTGTATGTAGATTTTCCACAGGTATTTTTGTGATAGCTTGGGTTTCTTTAATTAAATTGCAAATCTCTTCAGTCTCGTTCATGGCGAGGACGGCAATGACATTTTTTTGTGTGAATGAAAAGCTGACAGTATTCCAAAATGAATTCATGCAGGTTGTGAAAAGAGGACAAAGAGCAATCCGTTTGTGTGTCTGTGCACAGCAGTTTAGCTTGGCATAACCACAGAAACATTAGACTTATCAGGAAAAAAAAAAAAGGATCCTTAGAAGGAGTTGAATAAATTGATGTAAAAAGCATGTGCTGTAAATTAGCTTCCTTGATTTACTGACTTCATAGTTGCTCTCTAAAACTGATCTTGAATAAACTATTGGAAAAAATCATAAATCCTCCTCAGAAAAGAACACTCACCCAGGAGTAGTCAATTCTGAAGACTGATTAGATGAGCAAAGCAGCTGCTGTTGCAACCACTTTGTTACAAGTCCAGTGCAGGTCATCTGCTGGGGAAATACAGGCCAAGATGGTAGTTCTCAACGAAGATATTCCAGATGGTGTTGCATCCTGCAGTGTATATTCTCCGGGTGCTTTTATGGCTTAGCTGTCCAAGTCTAGATTAGCCTGAACTGTAAACGCAGCAAAATTAGTTAAAATTGCCTCTGCTCTTCTTTGTGGAACCCGAACAGACATAGCACAGACTGTTGACTGCCAGCCCTCTGTTATGCAGGAATGTCATTGTTAATGACATATGACCAATTGAAGACACGTTTTTATACACAAAGCATACACTGAATGCTTAGATTCGGTTTCAAGTATAATGTTTCCTATAATCTTTTTTTTCTGCCTCCTTGTAGGTCGCAGAATCCCATCAACTGACACTAACCCCCCATCTAGTGGTAAGGGCTTCAAGCTTCGAAGACAGCCATCGGTGACAAAACGCAGCTGCTGTTGACTGCTCCCTTAGAAAATCAGACTTGTTTATGCAGTAGGTGGTCTCGGCAGTTAATAGTTCACGTTGGGTTTATACTATCAGTCCTAGATCTGTGTCTGCTGGTGTTCATACACCCAAGGTCCCACAAAATGGGCCGGTTCATCTGACATCTGTACACTCAGAGAAAAGACTGCAATCAGAATGTCAGCTGTTTACTTACAAAAGGTGTAGTATCTCTTGCATTCAAAGGGAATCCATCATGGCTTTTTTGGCCTTGCTTGAAAGGAAAGTGGCTATATGGATGGTAGAACTGAAATGTTTAGTAGTTTTGTAATCAAGATTTTAGAGGGGTTTTTTTTGTAAAAAGGGAAATGAGCACTTTTACGGGACTTTAGGGGTGGGAGGAGTCTGGAAGTTAGATGTCATTTCTTCCTTTTCTTCAGTGAGCCTTATTTTAAATTTTGTTGTAGCTAATCCCAAGTATGATGGGACAGTTGATGTGAGGTGGCTACAGAATAAGCAACTGAAGACAAATAATAGGCAAATCTGTCCATCCAGTCCCCAAATCCCATTTGCACTTTTTATTTAAAGATAATAGGCACCGGGGGTGGGGACACAAGCAACAGGTATTAAATCACAGACAATCTTTTTTTTCATGCTGACTTTAATCACCGTAAGGCAAACTGATATGCTTATAGGCTTCTTTTGGTTCCTACAAGTTTTTTAATATGAAGAAAACCTAGTTGTAGTTCTGACTAAATTAAGTGGTTACTGACTAAAAACAAATGCTGTAAACAGATGCTGCCAGTTGTTCTGATAAGACCTAAAAGTTTTTAAGGAAAGCTTTTAATTGCTTGGCATGTGTAAAGTGTTCATATTATATTTATGAGATCAGTGTTTAAAGTATTATAAATGATGTAAAAACAGTAAAAAAATAATGCAATCTTATACACTCCTTCCATTCCACACCTATGGATAAACTCTTGGGGAATCTCCCCAAGATGTTCTTTCAATCACATTTGGAAGGGCCAATAGAGAATGCTGTTGGTGTAGCATGAGGTCTGTCTGTTGAACAAGTTTTCATCTGTGGTGCACCCAGTCTTTCCCATTTTGGGCACAAAAATACAAATAGGAAGTAACTTTAAGACGTGGTAATGTAGATCATTACCTCTTGGTTTCTGGGCTTTTTCATCTGTGAGGGTTTTTAGGAAATCAGTGTTTAGCTTATTCTGTATTCATTCTAGTACGCTTTCAATTAAACTATAGGTTGACCATACCCATTTGTGCTATTTTATTTATTTTTACTTTTTGTTTCCTACCAGCACTAGGGAGAAACTTTACATTTTTGAAGAAAAAATGCGTAATAGACTTGAGTATATACTAAAATATGCTGTTTAGCTTTAGTATCAAAATGAGGTCATGTTGATGATTCCTATTTTTTGTTTGTAATCTGGTTTTCTATCATCTGAAGTATTTTCTTTGAAGGAAATACAGAAAAGTTTGTAAGAAATGAAAGGACTTGTACTTCAGATTAGTTTGAACTAGTTAAAATTCTTATAGAACTGTTCTGGAGCACAACAGGTGGACTATTACAGTGAGATTTTTCTGAATGGGTCAGTATGTTTTAATGAAATCCAGTGGCTACATTTTTATCCCGCCTTTTACCCACCCTGCATTCTCAATTATGCTTTCTCTGCTACAGCTGTAGAGGCTCCATGCTTATAGAAAGCCCAAGAAGTAAATCTTCATCCAATGAAGGCTGTTTGAAGCTCCTTTGAAACATTGGTCCTCATGGTGTCTCATGGTAGAGACAGATGCATGTTTGGTGTTAGCCTGATGTAGGATATCTTGTTTTCTGTCACTCAAAAGCAAATAAATCACGAACAGAAAACTTTAGTACCACAAAATGCTTGATGGAAAATATAAGTAATAAAAAAAGTGCAGAGTAAGCTTGCTCTTGGGCATATTTTTAATTATAAAAAAGCAGATTAACAATTAAATGTAGAACTTTCACAGTGCTGGTCATGGAAATCCCTAATTTCTTTGAAATATCTCCATTCTTATCCTGGCAATTTTTAAAAAAATAAATTATCTGGTTATCTAAATCAACTAGGTTTTTTAAACATTTTGTGTTCACTGTGCTTCAGAAGTCTATTCTATACCAAGATATCAGGTAGTATCATTAGTATCTTTCTGCCAAACAGAAAATATTGCTTTTATTACAGTTGCTTAGTAATAAATCTGGACATTCTTAAACTTCGAGAGATCATAGTAGGAGAAAGAACGTCTCAGATACTGGGAATATCTTTCATGTAGATTAGTGGAAAAAGGAATTTCAGACTTTGTAAATTATTGCTATTGCCTGTTACCATGTGGTAAAAATGGAGTTTAAATCTGGTTTTTTGGTGAGATAATGAAAATGGTTTAATAGTATTTATCCAAAATTCATTGACTTGTGAAGAAAATACTGGACGCTAGGCAAGACTGAGAGCTTGGCTAGTGCTGAGATTATTGTAGTTCTCTCCCGTCAGGGGAGAGATCCATGTATCGTAGCAAATCTTTGTCAACTGCTTTCTGATCTATCCTGGCTTATTTGCCATACACCAAAAGTAGACTTTAAAAACAAACAAACGCACTCCAAAACCCTGAAGAAGCAGCAACAATCTGGCCCTTCTCAGACGTAGCTCAGTCTTGATGTCTCAGAGTCCCTTTGCTGTGCTCCAGATACTGGTGGGTGCCAGCAGGGCACATTCCATGTCCCTTTGCGGGGCTGATCTTGAGTTACTGCAGTTAAGGAAAACGTGGAAATGTGGAAATGGACCAGTGTTTCAGATTGTCCAAACTGCAAACACGGCGGTGAGGCTGCTTTCTAACACGTGCCTGTTTAAAATGACAGTGTGTTGATCTAAGTTCCTGTGAGCCAAGATAACTGTTTATTGATCCGTTGGCCCCAGCTGAAAGCCGAATGAGTCTTCCCTGGATGAGATGCACATGTTCATTCTTTCGTTTGTGTTGAAGAGAAATGTTTTCTTCTGTATGAATAATTTGTTAGGCCATCTGCTTTCATCTTGCACTGGGCTGGCTGAAACTCATTATTTTTGTCCTAACATAGCTTCTTTATTTGGAGATACATTAGCCTTTGAGTGTTTGGAGTGCTGATCATCAACCATTCCAACTAAATTTTTAATAACTTTTTCTTCTGTTAAGTTGTTGAAAAAGCTCAGGACTGATGTTTTATTCCATTATGCCTTTCTGTTTAATGAATGGAGCTCACCATAGAGACTAGACTTTCAGATGCTCTCAGAGGGAATTAATTCCTGCAAACAAGTTTGTAAGGGTAAAGTATCACGTATGTAAAATGTAACAAGGTGCATGTCGTATCATTGATCCAGAGTGTTTGTTAACTGAAAAAAATATGACTCAACTTCTAAATACCACCAATTCTTTCCCACAAAAGTTATAGATTTGTACAAAAATATCATTTAATAAATGTTCAGTTCTTAAGCTTTGGAGCAACTTAAAGGTGCTTCCCATGTTTTGGAGGTGTCTTCATCTTACCGTCTGCAATAGAAGTCTGTTAACTGACTTGCCAGGCTCCTGATCTGTGCTGTGGGTAGTTCTGTAGTATGTTTTATATACATGCTGAAAACAGGCATGCTAAATGCCTAAGTAGTTGAAATCTGGAAGCTTGTATTTAATTACAGAAGCATCTAGTGGTCAAACTACTGAAAACTGTTAGAGCTGCTTTGAAAAGTTCTAAGACCATTCTAACAACTTTTGCTGTTGTTAAGAAGGTGAAGACTTTGTCTATGTTATTAGATCTGTGTCGCAACAAACCAAATCATTGCACTTCATTCCCCACTGACATCAGTGAGACCCTTCCTTTGAGCGCTGCAGGATCAGACAGTTCACAGTTCAGAGCGGCGTTTCATGCAGAGTCCTTGATGCGTTTTGTACCTAATGCCAATTCAGTGCCACCACCCTGCTCAAGAATGGTTATTGACGTGCTTGGGAGGAGAGTAAGGGGAGAGCAGACAGTGCCCACCTGCCGATTTGGAAGTCTGATCCTTTAGCCTGGTTGAGAGGTGTGGGATTCATTAGGAGCTGTCTACGTTCATGGTTAAAGCTTCATTTTAATTATCAAAAAATAATTCAGGCTGAATATTGTGAGTGGTTTAAAAGTTGGCAACAAGATTTTTGTTATGTTAATCCTAAATTATTCCCTACCATTATTGTTAATTTCCAGTATAGCATACTGAGTATTAGTTGGAAAAGGAAGCTTTAGCAGTGGTGTTTGAATGACTTTCTTGTGAAACAGTCTTTAGTGTTTATTAAGGATGGTGCAGTCTATTTGCAGAGTGCTGTGTGGGCAATCTGCACAGGCTGCCTTGGGTGGTTTACAGGACAGAAGCTGCACGGTGTAGCTGGTCATCCTGTTCTGAACCTCATTGAGAAGCAACAATAGCTACATAGAAGAGGAAAAAAACATCTCAAACATGAGGAGAGCCTGAATAATTCACTGACTTGAACTTCAGCACTGTCTCATGTATCTCTCTTAAATGCTTTAAACCTCTAAAAAAAAGAGGCTTCTCTGTTCATGGACGAGAGAAGGACAAACTTTCTGAAGTTTTTTAGCGGGAAGTTGTTTTACAGTGACCTGGGCCTGTTTGTGTGCCACAGATCAGTTACTTGAAGCAGGAGAATTGTGTGCTTGGAATTACCTTCTAAAAAATTTGCACAAAATTCTCTGTTAAAATTTTATGTTCAGATCACATTCCTAGTAATAGACTAGCAGGTGACAGAAGACTTACAGAAATAAGATGTTGGTGTGAATTGTTAATTTAAGATAGAAATATAGGTTCTAGTATAAAAAAAGTGTCAGGTCAGCTCTCCTTTTCAGAGTCTATGGCTCCAGCTTGGCGAAAGAAATGGGCTTGAAACCACATCTTTGTTTCTCATACAAGAATTCAGGTGCCAAAACATATTTCCTTAAAATTATTAGGTTTTGTGACACCAGTGTTTGTTTCAGAAAAATCGCTTCTGAAGTTTTGGAGGTCTCAAAAGTTTGAATGCAAACTCTTTCATGGTCAGCTAGAATCAAAAGTGCATGATTTGGAAAAATGAAAAAAGCGTTACCAAACTTACAGATAAAGTATCAGAAGTAACACATCTTTCAAGCCCACACTTACTGATGGGCTTAGTCCCCGACATGTCAAAATGGTCCTTGGGGCAGCTTCTTCCTCCTTCCCCTCCCAGCTCCCCCACCCAGCTCTGAATTTTTAACGCAGTGTTGTCGGAGTGCACATGCTATAAACAGCCATTTAGAAATGCCTAGAAAAGTTATAGAGGCTTGGAGTTACTTGGTGCTTCCTATTTTACATGGAAAATCAAGGCAGTAAGATGGTTTGGCCCACAAAAAATTCAGACAGCATTTGCTGAAACTGCTCTCAACTTAGAATAAAGAGTTCTTAGAGAAACAATTTTGAGTTTCCCATTTCATCATCCTGCAAGTTGGGGTTCTTAAGTTTTTTACTTAAACACTAACAGTGAATTTACTCAAGGAGCTAATTACCTTTGTAAGGGTACTCTACTCTGAAGAAGGCTGGGTTTTTCTTTGCTTCATTTCTGTTAACGTTTTCACTTATGAGTTATTAAACAAACCAACTGCTACTTCTTTCTCGAATGTTGAAGGATACAGACCGCTCCTCCTGTCGCGCTCCTCACGCTGTGATCCTCCACCCAGCCACGGCACCTGGGGATGCTGTAACTGCTGACACCGTGCCTCACTCGTTTCACAGCATGCATTTCCTATTAAATCTATTAACGTTTTTTTGACAGTTTATTCTGTGTTTCCTTATGGGATTTAGCCAAGACTAGGTGGTGAGTGGCTTTTTCCTCTCAAGGGTTCTAGAAGTATGTGTCACAGCGGCAAATACTTATAAACAAAACAGTAATTCATTAGTAGAGCCTTATGAAACGGTTCTGGAAACCCAGTGGCCGAGATGTGTCCCTGCACAGCGCGCTCAGCGGGAGGCAAGTCACGGTGTGCTCTAGTAACACCCTGTAAGCACATCTGTATTTTAACTTCCCTTTTTGGACTTCCTGTCTCTGAATATTGTGTATCCAACATGAAATTGTGACACAGGGAATTGATCTGAAACGCAGAAGTGGATTGCGTTTCTGTAGCTGGAAGACACTTAAGACTTCCTGGGAATCTCCCCCCTTGTGCCCCCCACCCCCAGTACAATGAAGGAAAAAAAATAAAATCATTCCGAATGTTTCTTCTAAACAAGAAACTGCATTGGTATATTCAGGGCACAAAAATAACCTGATATGCATATAGCTCTTGCAGTGTAATAAATGTCTGCCTGTAAAATTAAGCATGAAGGTTAACCTTTGGATCAGCAATTCTTGTCCCTCTTCAGAATGTTCTGCCTTTTCATTCTAGGATTGGGATAACCTCTCACAAAGGTGGAAAGGTCTGTGCCTTCTTATTATAGTGTCTCTTACTAAAACTAACTTAAGCCGCTTGGAGTTACAGAGCATTTGCAGCACTGTAAACTGCACAAATTGACAACCATTGCTTCACTGCATGACGTGTAGTCAGATTCCTGGTGATGAAATTCTAGTGAGGAATTCCCAAGCTTATGAATGTCTCGAGACTTTTTTTAGTCTTCTCTTGGGCTGGTCCTGAGAGTGTGTACAGGTTTGTCTGTATTGTTGGTCTGTAGATGCTAATGAGGAAAACCAGGCTTTTGTTCTCTCCTTTTTGTTGGAATTGTTACACTCCCATGTAGTGCATAGAATGCAAATAAAGAAATGTTGATTTGGCATAATGTAAACAGCCTTTTCAGCTTAAGCATTCATAATAAACTTTTCTAGTGTAATACCATGCTAAATCACTACCAGTCTGATGTAATGTGCAAAAAAAAAAAAAAGAAAGAAAAAAAAGGTGTAAACATTTTATTAATAAAAAGCTTTGTTTATAAATGTGCTGGCTTTGTTTATATATGGTTCTGAAATTCTCAACATCTTAAAAAATAATGTCTAGAGAAACAGAATTATACAAGAGGAAAGCAAGCAATACCATGGCAGAAGTGAATCCAAGTGATGATTCAAACCGCTGTTTTCCAAACTACCAAGTCCTGGCCATTCAGAAACTGTAGTTTTTTCCTGGTTTCTGTAGGCAGGAAGGCAGAGGGGCTGGGGGACAGCAGAGAGAATGCAGCGTTTGTGTAGCGCTGCCTCCCTGCAGCACTGCCGGCCACACGCAGCCCCAGCAGCCAGGGCAAGGCCTGGCTAATTCCACCAGGGTCGAGGTATTTCATACATTGCTTTTAGCTTAGACTGCATGAAATGTAAAATTCTCCACTGCTCAGGCCAGGTTTCTGCCAATCAAAACTACGAAGCACTTTTTATATCCGCTCAGTGCTGGATGGGGCCTCTCCTGCTGGGAAGGGATCTTTTCATCTTTGCTCACAGGGCCGGCTGGGTGGTGGCTTGCTGCTCTTAAACCACTGCTGTGGTGGTGATGCACAGCACAAAGAGAGGGAGTTGGCCACAGTTGTCTTATGCTTAAGAGATGTCATTTTCTTGTTTCAAGACGCGAGTCTAACGTGTTCAGTTAATAGCAGCCTTCAAAAGCATAAACAAGCAAAAAAACCCTCCTGTTTCTGATACTGCTATTTCACCTGAAAATGAAATTTTCTACTAAGCAACTAGCTGCAGTTCACGTGCAGAAAATACACGCTGTCATCTTTTAACAGAGGCTTGGAATCACCTACTGTTCAGTACCTGCTGGGTTTAGTTATCCTCTCAGACGTGTGTAACCTGCTTGTGGAGAGCATCAGGGGGCATGAACGGGCGTCGGAGAGAGCAGTGGAACAGGAAGCACAAGGAATGTGCTAGAACAGAGAGAAAAACATTTACGTGTGTTTGCAGAGGGAATCTAGATAACTAAATACAAACCACCTCATTTGCACATACACACTGTGAGATAGCGTTTTACTTGCAGCAAGTCTCATAGCTTTTAAGGTAAGAGTTTTGTAACAGATGAAACTGCTCTTTAAAATTGTCCCAGCACAGAGCTTTTAGGTCCTCTTCAGAGTTTCCCCGTCGTGTTAAACCCTATTTGCTCCTGTTAACCAAAAACCTGCCTTGGCAACTGACTGCCTTCTCACCTTGTCAGGGCTGAATTGTTAATAAAGCAAGGGCTGGTGTGTGTAACTGATAGGGACACGGTTCTGCAGGTGGCCTTCAGCACGCCCAGCTCAGCGAGTCTGATCTGCACCATATCAAATGTACACACATTATTTACATAGAACAAAAAGCTGACCACCTACATTCATCAGACGTCAGAAAATTTCAACTTAAACAATGCTGTGCTTTATAAAAACTTCCGCCTGGATGAAAACATGGGTTAGTCCTTCAAGCAGGTGAGTTCAGAGCAGCCACTTACAGAAGATGCTCCCCTTGGCACACCCTGGCCCAGTGCTAAGGGCTGCACTTTGTGCTTCCTTCAGGAAAATGAGAGCTTGGAAAGGGCAGCAACATCGAGCACTGTCTGCTTTGGGGTTCCGTTATGTGTGACTGTATGTTGTATAAAGGTTCCTCTGTCTTATTCCTCGCTGTTAGTTTCCAGTTAACTCACAGATATGTATAAAGCTTGCCCTTTTGACTAATTACTGGACTGAGACTGCCTCGCTCACTGAGAGAATTTGCTTATAAAAATAAAACTTATGAGATTACATGAAAGACGATAACATTTCCAGAGTATCAGCCAAAGAGTATACTCTGAAGTGTAAGGAACACAATTCTTGCCTGAGTTGACATGTAGTAAGATGTTATAACATAATCCATAGTTTATGCTATAAATTAAATCCCTACAATTAGCAACAACAATAAGCCAAGAACATCCCAGGCTCCAAATCTAATTAACTAAGCAGAGTAGACTAGAAGGGACCTGGAAAGCAAAATGCACCCCTTTATGACATTCTGTGACCCCTTTTTCTCCAACAGAGAAGGAATTTAAGGAAGAGCAGCCTTAAGGGAAGAAAACTGTAGCGCTGCTGGGACTGCGGCAGCCTGAGGCTGTCAGCACAGCAGAGCGCTTCCTGGAAATTTTAAAATGTTTTCAAATCATGCTATTTGGAGTTTAAAAAAAAACACAAACCAAACAAAACAAAAACCAACAACCAAAACAGCAAAACCCAACCCAAACAACCCCCCTCCAAAAAAATAAACGACAACACACACACACCACACACACCCCCAGAACAACAAAAACCTGCCCGGAAACCCCAGCGCAAGGAACCCAGACCCCTGGTTCACAGTTCACTTGGGGGGAAGCGCCTTATAAACGAGGAAGACGAGCTGAAAGTCCGGGTTTTTATCCCACGACTCAGCCTTCCCGGCAGCGCGGCGGGAGGGACGGGCCCAACCAGCGGGGTATCGCAGCACCTACCGCGGTGCCGGCGGGGCCCGGCCTCGTTAGCGCTCCTAATTAACGCTCCGTGCTAACGAGGCCGGGCCGCGGCCAGTACCGCTGACGGAAGGCGCCGGGCCTGGTCGGGCGCCGCCGCCGGCCGACGTCAGACGCAGCCTCGCTCTGGGCCGCTCTGGGCCGCTCCGTGCCGCA